TGACAGTAGTCTCCTATAGGCCCTGGCGTCAAATACTATTATTGCTAACTCAGGCGGCTCAAGAAGACGTCTACGACGATGCAAGCAACCGGGTAAGAGTCAACTACGCTCACAACTTCGTTTCCTCAGATCAGTGTCAATAATCGCAACCTTTCCCCACATTCTTCTCTCAACATTCCTTTGCAACAATTTATTTCGACATCTGCTTCGAAACACTAAACCAACACAAAGTCACACAAAAGCCCACACGCTAAACTTGCAACCCTTCAAAGAGGCATGTAAAGAACAAGTGAATCAAAGTGGACAAAAGTAAATGGCAGGAGGAAGAGTTCGAAACAAGGTCACTAAAAGTATGCAAACACTCGAAGACAACAAAGAGTGAATACATCTACTCAATTCTTATCGACTTTCAGACATATTACCACGGATCTCCAACCACTGATTCCTTGCACTTCAATGACCTCAACTAGACAGTCTACATCCTCCTATGTTGCTTAGAACAACATGCAGAGATCCCATCGATCGGTTCCAAATCATGGTCCAGCCACTCTGAGCCTTCTCCCAACACCACGTCGAAGTAGGTGGTGACTGGACATGTGAAACACAAGTAAAAGCCACCTCAGTAAGTAGAGCTTTACAACCTCATCGGTTGACTTACCTTCCTCAGCTAACACCTCACTTCGCAACTACTCCTAACCACGAGCAGCGCTGAGAAGACACATGTGGTCAAAAACCTGTGAGAATTAGACATGCTTTTGAACCCGAGCTGAGAATTCGTCAGCATCATTCCACTTCACTCCCTAACCTTAAAGTAGGATTCGGTGCAACACCAGATGTGAAGCATCACTTTGCATGTGAAAAGCGAAAAACATGCCTAACATCCTCAGATTTCCACTCAAGGGGTTGAGAAGATCCTGCATTTTGTTAGCGTCCTCACCTAACAGAACAAGATCGTCTGTGTACTCTAAATTAATCTGGTTCTCTTCACAGTGTGTCCATCCCTGTAAAATTCGAAATCAGGTTCGCGTCCATTAGCACAACAGTAACAAAGATGGAGAAAAGTGGTGACAGAGTGTTTCTGATGGACGCCATTGATTTCCACTACCTCAAATGACAACTCCAAATAAACCCACACACGTTTACATGAGTTCCGGTAGAGAGGCTTGATTAGCATTACATACTTTTTCGGTACTCCCTTCAGAACCAGGAGCTGTAATAACACCTCTAGGTCGACAGAGTCGAATGACGCCTTCAAGCTAGAAAATATGGCAAGTGTCTGACACCGGTGAAAATCCCTGTCCCACAACCTGTCGAAGGGTGTAGATCTGAACGACCCACTCTCTTTCAGGTGTGTGACTTGCATGGTTTTCTCCAGCTCGGGTTGTGCGTAGGATAACTATAGACCATGGGATCTTGGGCAAGTGGAAAGTTTTTTGTTTGTAACAAGATGACGTCTCTTTTCATAAACAGTGGATTTGTCAGTGATCTAGTCCAGTCTGATACATTTTTCTGATCCACATGAACTACACATCACCTGCGATGATTTCCACAATTCTTCAGTCAGGTTCTCCTGCTTCCTATCCTTTCAGATTTGAAATAGTCTTCTTCACTTCGAGTACAGTCATCATATTTAGAAATGTGGGCAAATGTTGGAAAACCTTTTCAAATACGCTTTAATTTAATCAGATCGTTGAACAAAATGCAACTAAAATTCACACGTCTCTGTCCACATCAAGCGTTCGGACCTGCCAATGGCTGTCAGAGACAAACAACCAAGATATTTCATGGACAATTATAGTTCCAACCAGTCTTAAGATGGACAAACGATTGTCACTCTTGAGACGTCAAATCCTGAATCCATTCAAGCGGCAACAGTTGTTTGACACCACAAAAGTGGATGATAATGTATTAAAGGATGCGAATTCCTTACGAAAAGTATCCATATTCCACGACAATATGAAGTAATATTTTCCTATAGACAAGTGCAATCAGTAACGGACAAGACCCCTATCCAGAAGGTGACATGAAAATTCGAATAGGTGACAAGTTTTAATGCCGAACTGGGAGGAGACAACACAGTACGATATAGTTTAGTTTGTTGCTTCTGAATTTGATTATAATGGCGTGTCGCTGGCGTACCTTGTATTCTTGTGGATTTTTTGGGACTGTTGTTTTCTAAACCACCTGTTGTTCTGCTGTTTAGAAAGTAGCGTCAGGACCGAGGTACTGGTCGTCGGTTGCGTAGTAATTTACCCTGTAATGGTAGGTGCTTTTTGTCTGATTATTGTCCCGGTAACTTATCTTGTATGGTGGGACTTCGATGGATCAAGCGTCTCAGTAGCGTAGCTCGTTGTGTCATTATGATATGCAAGCTAGATTACCTTGTCAAGGTAGCACGTATCTTTTGGGCACCTGTATCCTTGCTGCCATCCTTCGAAGCGTGTGCATTGATTACGATTATTCATGGCTTTTCTTGCCGACTGCTTATCTCTCTAGCCGAACCTTATCAGATAGTGGTAAAATGTAACGAGAAAACCGAAACGAAAGAAAAAAATGTTTGTCGATAAAAAATGGCACAGTAGTCGTTAAATATGGTACAACTTGCTTAAAAACCGTCATTTGCAAAGTGTGCTTCATTCCCTCTCCTGCTTCTCTCTTGGTTTGCTCTTAATACGCCTGTGTTGTGCTTTGCTTTTTTCTTGGCAGAATCCTTACCCATTGCTGGTAATTCCCTATGATTTCTGCAACCATCTCAACACGTACTACTTATGATAATTTAATTTGATTGCAAAGTAATTTATATAAACTATGATCAAGATTTGGTCGTACAGTATGGCAAATATTGTGCGCTGAATAAAAGGTTGACATTAGATATATATTGTATTTATGTAAGTCAAACCCGCTGTGACTTACACAAATACAATCAATATCCAATGTCATATACTACTTATGTCCATTCTTATCAGACACGCTGATTACAGTAGCACGCCAATGACTAATAGTGGAGATCTGTTAGACTAGCTCACGCGCTCTGACATAGCGCACCACCAACTAATTCGGCTACCTGACTCACAGTGTATTCAGATAAGCACTCATTGGACATACTTTTTAGCTAGCAGATGGATAAGTTATTAAAAGCACTTCACTGTGATCGTGTATGTCTGTCTTTTATATACCGAATATACCAATAGGAAGACTTTACAGAATCTTGACCAACTTGTCTGTTGCTCGATAAGCATCAAGAACTGAATGTCGAATCATCTAGTCGTAACTGTAAGTGGAATTTTTTTTAGAGTTGTAGGATGTGATATGAAACGGAAAGTCAGCTTTACACAAACGACAATTTATTGACTCAACTAGTATAAAGAGATTGGAATTTTTTATGAATCGCGAGGTTTTGAATAATGTAGGAATAAGGGTTATGGTAAATGTTACAAAAACAGGACTGCATAGTTTAAATGAAAATACGGCAACAATAATATGATAAAGGTAACATGAATGACTGAGTCAATGTTTTGAAGTCTTCATTGTCGTGTTGTCACTATAGGTTGTATGAGGGCAATGACTTTATCTGGACACCAGTATCAAAGATGGTGATCGTTGAAGAAGACCACTCCGGGAGCCTTTGACGTAAAATCTGACCTATAAGATGATGGAACAGCAGCTGGTGCTATGTTCACATGGTTGCTGGTGACTAAAGTAGGTTCGTACATCGATCGTCCTTTTTGAATCCTGAAGCTTATGTTAGTTGGGTGTATCAGAGTTTTCCAACTCCCCGAGGTGGGATCTCCGTATCTAGCCTTCGAGTGACAAATCCTGAACATTCGCCACGTGTTAGCGGTCAACAGATTGTGCTGCTTCGCTCCTTATGCTTAAATTAGGAGCCAGTGCATACCAGTCTTAAAACATCATCTCACATTTAACAGGTGCGAAATAAATGCTTACCGAATATACTCAGATATTTTTTCAATATATTTTGAAGACCCTTCATTTTATCAGCATCCTTAACTAACAGGACGGTTATTCGCGCACCTTCAACAAGTCAGATGCTATCTGAGCATCAGCTCAATCATGAATGGTCAAAAATAAGCAGTCAAATCATTCATTGCATTCACAGCAAAGGTGGGTAAAAGTGACAGTGAGTATCTATGATTGACACCTGATTTTTGTCACTTCATATGACAATTGCGTTGAACTGCAGCGCCGCTAAATGAGTTCGAAAACGGAAACTTGTTTCACGAAGCATATTTCACAATCGGATACTGCTGCATTTACTTTTCGATTCGTGAAGTCAGTTGTTGCATTCCGATAAAAGTTTAACAAGTTTTGAACTCCGGTATGTCTGTTCGAGAACCTTTCGTATGCTCTAATTCCCCTTATATCTGTTATATGTTATCCTACTACTTTTCATCATATAGTTTCCCCTTTTCTATCCTCCTTGTTACCTTCTACCTTGGTGTTTAGACGTAAGATGTGATTATCACTGCGGCTCATCGGTTTAGTTCGTTGAATTTCAGACAGCGTTGACGATTAGAATTCCACTACACCTAAAAAGTCTCGGTAAACCAATAGATGTCACCAGTCCTAACGCAATAGGTTTAAATCGTTTCAAAGTGCATAAATCTGCATTTGATAGCTGTTACTTGTTTTCATTTTATTTGAAGTATGGCAACCTGAACCGCTGTGTGGTGGTATAAGATGCCATTCCAATAGTATTTTTCTGTCAGAGCTTGTAAAAGAGTGCAGATCCGATTTATGCACCCCAGTTCAGGTCTGAAACCCGCCTGCTTCTCGTGATTACTTTTCAGATGGGAATTTTCGAAAGCAGTAATTTTTGCACATCATCATGGTAAATACTTTTGTGGCTTTAGCCACTTGCAATAATTTAAGTATTCATTGTGTTATTGAGTATTAAAAGACCAGTTAAACTGCCTATTATTGAATTTCCATACTGCTATCGTATAATTTGTTTTATGTTTTTGGTATGTTGTAAATTATAGATGGATTTCTGGAATCAAAAATGCTTGTGATTTCCGTGTATGGAAAGCTTGCTTACAATTCATTTTGGCTAGTAATGCCCAGATGAATTCAGAGAACGATGCATCTATGCTATTGGGAGTTTACGGAAATTCAGGTGTACCGCATTTCTATCGTACTGCCTTTGTACCTTCTCACGAAACCGATCTTTGTAATTCTTTCTCAGTGTTTATAGCATTCAACCGGCACAATACAGAGCCCATTCAGGTAATTTTGTTTCATTTTCAAATTGGAGACAGAAGTCTTTTTAGTAACGTTTAAATATATAGGGAGTGCATCACAAAGTTTGTTGTTTTCAAGCTTCCCTCAAACGTTGAATTATTACAAAACTTAAGATTTTGGACATTTTGTACGTCAGACTGAATACTTTGTGCGTATTACAGAAGGATTCCTATACTTCCTTGAGAGATTCGAAAATCAGAAATTGAAACAGGTTCGAGGGGATCATATCTGATTACCACGCATCAACTAACACTTCACTTAATTCAACGGGTAGTAATGCCTTATCCTGCTTAGATACCTCTAATGCCATTTTATTTGAACCTGCTGCTTTTTGTTGTTCCAGGTTACCTACAGCCTTCCCAACCTCTGCAAGAGTTAGAGACTCCTTGTCAATATTCCATTCATGCTAAGTCTGGATAGCGAGTAACCGGAGAATAACTGAGACCAACTGAACTGTTCCTCATAGTGTCCCACTATAGTTCCAGTCGTCTCCCCTGCGAAGGTATTGTAGATCCATCTTCGCCACGATCTCACCAACTTTTTGACTCCTTCATCTCAGTTTCCTTCGTAAATCTAAGTAACTGTCTATTGTTACCTGTCCCCATTGCCTTTTCCATCTCTAACCTTTACTGTCTACTACTGCTCGCGGTTATTATTGAGACTCTTTATCAGTCTGTATTTGAGCTACTCCTGCTCCTCATCGTTCTTGAAGCGTTCTGGAATGGACTCACGTGCATCCATTAATTTAGATCAAGCTATTGAGATCCATTATCCCTTGTCGACCTTGTTCCCGTAGGTTGGCTTGCTGCAATCAAGCTCCTGTCCAGCCACCAGTACGACTTGGTCTTCAGACCCCATCCATAGCGTAGTATTTCATCCTACAATGGTAGCAGCGTTTTTTCTAACCACTACTCAACAAACGCTTCTGCCTTGGTAGAGCCTTAAGGAACAAGTGTTCCACTAACATAGCTCGTCGGGTTATTGTGATATCCAAGCCCGACTATATCATTTTAACTTTATCCTTAGTGTGATATGACACAGGAAGTATGTTGAGATGATGAAGAATATTTGTATCTAAGGCAGATGACTTTGATGGCTTTGTGTTCTCCGAGCTGGATGGTTTATTTGTGAAGCTTTCATTATCATTCTAGGCAACATCAGCACAAACGTCAGAAAGAAGTGAGCCATGGGGTTTTCTCCACGAGTGGCTTAGTAGCTTGTCCTGATGACCTTGTCTGAGAGTGGTTGTTTCTGCCAAGGTCTTATTATTATCTCCACACTTCGATTGTTTGTCCTCCTGATGTGAGATCTGACTTTGCTGTTTCCTATTGATTGATAGATTGGGTCAATGTCAATATATCTGTTGATCACTGACCGACCTGAATGCCAAGCTTCTAAAAATTCCCTGGCAATCTTCGTATTTTCTCTATCCAGGACTTCTACATTTTCCTAGTCAAACCCATGTCCACAGTTGTCCCTATACATTGATATAAGTGAAGATATGTCATGACGCTTAACTGCTAGTTGATGTTCATGTAGACGGATGCGAAGAAGGCGACCACTGCGTCCGTTGTAGTATTTTTCGCAGTTTCTACAGTTTATTTTGCAGATAATGTTTGATTCGTCTTCCTTTACTATGGTATCTGTTGGCCTGCCTAACCGGAAGTGAGGAAATTTTGTGGGCTTGTGAGATACAGTGATCCCAAGAGGCTTCAATAATCTAGTCTTGATCTCAAATACGTTCTTCATGTAAAGTAGGGCAATGCGTTTGTTGGTTCTCAAGGTTGACTTCTTGGTTGATGACGAATTATGTAAGCATCTTTTGATGAAGTTGGTTGGGTGACCGTTCTTCTGGAAAACTGTCAGTAGATAGTTTTCTTTTCTCCGCAGGGTTGATGTACTACAGTATGTCTTCGCTCTTTTGAACAATATTTTTATACAGCTGATTTCGTATTCTGTTGCGCTATCACTATTGTATTTGAAGATTTGACCTGTATGAGTTGATTTTCTGTATACTTCAGTTTCCAATTCCCCTGAATCCGTTCTAGTGATCAGAACATTTAAAAATTGTAAATTTGATGTCATCGAAAATGTTGTTGATTAATTTTTAAGTGTTTTCCAACTCGTTTTTTCTAGTCATGACAAATGTGTGATCTGCATATCAGACCCCAAATTTTGGTTTGAACAATGTTAATACCACAGTTTCTAATCTTTGCATTACTGCTTCGACAATTAGTCCTGATATAGGTGATCTCATTGGTGTCCCCTTTGTCTGTTTGTAGAGTTTTCCGTTGGACTGAAAATGTGTTGTAAGTCATAAATCGATTAATTCCATCAAACTTGAACACTGCATTTACTTGTGTTCCGAGAGATGTGTATCATTATTAAGGAGAAGAGTCATTGTATCCTCAGCCAGTTTCAGTTCAGTTGAGGTGTATACAGCTGTAATCTCAAAAGACGCCATCATTTTAGTTTAATCCTTTCTGAAGGAGAAGTTCCTTGGATTTGATCAGAGATTGTTTGGACAAGTTGACTACTCAGTCATTTGTTTCTTCCCCTTCTGATGCCCACTGTTTCGAAATCTTGGAACACTTCTCTCGGGGATGTTTCTTCTCTGTTCTTTGTGTATTCTGCTTGATTTTTCAATCGCAGTTGCCAACGTTGTAAAGTGTTCTATTGTGAGTATCCCCTGGAGATTCAGTTTGGACAGAGAATGGTCAAATTTTTAAATGCTCTCTCTATGTTTGTTTTCACAGAAATAAACTTTTGATTCTTCGAACGCTTGTCACTGCAGGGCTTCGTTAAATAAACCTTTTTTATATAAGCTTAAATTATGTTCTTATTTGGAAATGACCTCAGTCACCATGTTTCAGGATTACAGGTACACGTGAATATGTCAGATATCCACTTGTGTTGAATTGTTAATTTTCAGTATATGAACATATTTCTCTCAGATACTATGATAGTCATGTTGGGCAAACGGAATGCTAATAACTGAAAAATTAAAATCGGTCACTAACTTGGGTGATTCTTTGCTTCATCTTCCTCTTAGTTCCAGGCATTTCATTTTTCCTTATCTTTAACTGTCTGCATATTTCAGCAATCGGATCATCATTTCCATTCCTTTATTCTTCCGCTTTTTGTCTCATCCTCTGTGCTGTTGTGAAATATGATAACTTGGACAGATGCTCACTTGTGCCAGTTCCTGCTTCATTGATGTCTCTGTCATGGTGACTATAAGATTGTATCACTCCATAGGGTTGTTTATACTGCTGCAGCCCTCATGAAGTATGAAAGTGAATCTGAAATTACTGGATTTTTCTTCATTAGTTCTTGATCATGAAAGTTGTCAAGTCTCTCTATGCAACAATATTTATTATTTTTATTTGTCCCTTGGGTTCCTAATGGAACATAGGGCTTATCTAGTGTACTCTGTTCTCTGCAAACTTTTGAACCTCGCTCCACGTCAGCCCAGAAGCTCTCATTTCTTCCTCGCACGATCTCCTTCATGTCACCCTCGCCTCGGACGCCCAACTTGTCGCTTTTCATCTGGGTTCTACTCGAGGGCCTGACGTGTGATGTCCCCAGTCAGCCTTCTCAGTGTATGCCCAATCCATCTCCACTTCCTTCTACATATTTGTTGAGCGATGGGTTCTTGGTTCGTTGCCAGAGTTCCTTGTTGCTTATTCTTTCCGGCCATCTGATCTTCAGTAACGAGCCAGCGTAGGCAACAGTTGTTGATGAATTTCTGTAGTTTGTTGGAAATCCCTTTCGTAACGCGCCAAGTCACTGAGCCATACAGGAGCACTGACTTGACGTTGGTGTTGAAAATCCGTATCTTGTTCCAGATGCTGAGTGCAGAAGATCTCCACACTGGTTTCAGGCTAACCAACGCTTGTCTTGATTTTCCGATCCAGGCTGGCTTTGACGTCCTCGTCTGTGCCTGTGCCGCCTGTAGTTGAAACAGTGCTGCCTAAATAGGTGGAGGCTACTTCCAAGTTTCTCCCATTGATGGTGATTAGAGCTTGTTGTTGTTGGCGGTGGCGTTGGTTGGGTATCTTCGTCAGCCCTGTCTTCTCTACACTCACTTGAAGTCCCGTCTTCTTTGCTTCTCCTGCCAACTTGTTAGTTTTCGCCTGTAGATCTTCGAGTTTGTGTGACATTAGACAAAAAACGTCGGTGAAATCCAAATCTTTTATGATCTTTCCCCCGGTCCAGTGTATCCCCGTCTTCTCGCTCCTCTCTGTTTGTTGCATGATCCAGTCCACTACAATCAGGAATATCATAGATGATAGTAGACAGCCTTGTTTTACTCCTGTCTTCACTTCAAAAGCGTCATTGAGCTTCCCATCGTGAATTACTCGGCATGTGGCATCTTCATATAGTTGTTGAATGAGATTGATAAAGGTTTGTGGTATTACGTAGTATTGAAGCAACTGCCTGTCAAATTACTTCTCGGTTAACGCTGTCGGAAGCCCTTTCAAAATCGATGAAGTTGAGGTAGAGAGCTGACTGCCATTCTATGCTCTGTTCTATGATGATGCGCAGAGTAACGTTGCAATTTGATCCATGCATGATTTGTACTTCCTGAATCCAGCCTGTTCCAGTCGTAATTTTGAATCTGAAGCATCTTTTATTCTCTCCAGGATGATGCGGCTTAATATTTTGCTTGGGGTGGACAGGAGTATGATTCCACGCCAGTTCTTGCAAAGACTTAGGTCACCCTTTTTTGGGAGTTTAACAAGGTGGCCCTTCTTGCAGTCAAGTGGCAGGTACCTTTCCTTCCTTCCAAACCTTCTGCGATAGTGGTGTGAGCATATCCACTGTTGTCTCTGCGTCTGTTCTCAGTGCTTCTGGCGGGATTCCATCTGGTCCTGCTGCTTTCCCTCATTTCAGTAGCTTTATGGGGCTCAGGACTTCGACTTTTGTTGGAGGATTCATGTTCACTTGTAGTTCTGTGGCTGGGCTGCTGGTGGTATTTCCGGACGAAGTGCTGGTGTAGGTCGATTCAACAGTAGACAGACTTTTCTAATTATCATCTCAAAGTAGGTACTGTCACATCAAAATATATATGTCTTCAAGTAATACTCAACATGATCAGTTGAAAATAATTATCCGATTTCCTGAAACCTTATATTTCAGTGCAAACACTCACTTTTTGATAAAAATTCAATAAATTGTATGGATATGATATTTCACTCACAGTAAGACATTAGTGCACCGTGAAAAAATAACTCTGAAAGAAGTATGATTATATACAGCAATTTTAAATGAATAGTTGGACAAATTTCTCAATAGTTGACGGGTTTCAAGGAAATAGAGCTGATGCTTATCTAAATCTGTTGTATAGCGGTAATGGACTCCAGTAAGTGTGATCTTCCTGTGTTTCTGACACGTCCTGAAAGAAATAAGCTACATACTTTGTTGATAAATTTGAACGTGAATAGATAGTTTTTTGTGTATCCAGTTCTAGTCGAAGTGATATGTAAGCGTCAACTAACGTGTTAGGCTAGGCTATGCTGCAATTCACCAACTCATTTTTAAACTTGAGGTATAGATAAATTATAAACTGTTTTAGTGGTATTTGTAGTGAAAGCAGAGGGATTTTGATCCTAATCATTTTATGTTGTTTGAACAATTTCAGTTTAAGTTCACACTTTTATCAAGTCGTGAAGTCTGTACATCTTCGTCAAGATCCAAAGCCTCGGAATATTTTACTTGGGATTTGGTGAAAAAGACGCCAGATAACAAAAAAGAATTGGCTGCGTTGAAAGACTCAGTCAAACAATTTTGTAATTCTGTTCATGGTTTACAGTATTCTCAAGGTGAAGTTATTAACCAAGCAACTTTTATACCATGTTCTACAAAATCAGAAACGTCCATCGTTCCTAAACCTAAAAACTGGAACAATACAACTAACAGTTCGACCTTTCGTTCATTTGATGACGAATTTAAGAGGTGAGTTACATGTTGATTTTAAGAAGTACTTAATTTCAGAGTTGAATACGATGCAGTCATGGATTCGTCTTTTGAAGTGTTTGGTTGTATTTACTGATGATGACTTTAATTTATCTTCAAAAATGGATCATATGTTGTATCTATGACTAGTTAGCGCATCTTGAAATGGATAGCCATTTATCGGAAATAGATCATGTGAATAATGTTGTCGTATCCTGGTGATTCTTTATCTTCTACGACCTGTTTACCTATCTACCTCCTGGTTCACAGTAATGGCAAGTCATTCTCAACATATTGTGTTTGTCTATGATCACTTTGACTCTTCGACTTCGTCTCTTTATTCATTTTCAGTTTCTGCTCCTGAAGTCGAAAATTATATTCTGATAGTTGTTCACACTTGTTGCAAACTACTTCTAGTCTTCAATTATTTTCTGTGATAATGACTGTTTGGAAGAATTCAAATATTAACTCCTTTGTCTTCAGTGAAATTCTCTCGGAGGTTAACAACACAACTTATGAACATTGCTTAGGAGCGTAATCATGTAATAGCCAAAGAAGCTGGATAAAAAACGTATGGGTACGATATCAAAAGCTACTTAGTTCTTCTAGAGCTTTCGAAAACCGTTTACTCTACAGCTCATAATTACCGATATTAGACACGTGTAAACAGCATACATTTCTCTATACAAACTAACCTTACTAACGTCAAGTTTTCCACCTGGATACAAGCATAGCAATCAATCGAACCTCCGTTAGCTAAAATCCTTATTATGCACCCTCACGTTCTTTTCATTATTTTGTAACATGCAGGCAATGATACAATAGCGTACGTGGTTAATTACGTATAAGGTTTTCATACTGTCAGTCTTCAGTTGTCTCATCGTCGTGTTAGTAACTCTACTCTATGCATATTTCCACTCTGATGGTCGACCAGACATGGTACAAGTGTTTAAATGTTGTAATTCTGTAATGTTTTTTCGTCGGTGGTTGACTCACTAGGACTTACATTGATCTGTTTGAGAATGAACTTGGTATTCTTGTCTGTTTCCTGTAAAGTTACAGTCGATGCATGTGAAAATTAATTTTGAGGGACCGTTTTGGTTAAGTTTCAGCAAGTCATGTAGATTTTTATCAAATGTCTTTACAAGGTAGCACTTTGTTAGGGACTTGGTGTTACATGATCATCTTATACACACTTTAAATCAGTCGTAGGATTTCTAGATAGATAGGGTAGATAGGCGTAGAGGTATACTACATAAAAATAAGAGTGAGTGCATCTCGGTCACTGTGGTCACCTTTGTACTGTATCATTTAGGATTGGAAACACTTAGTTCATATCATAATGAGGACTCTGACAAGCAACTCTTTCCACATCAAAGTAGCAGTCGCTAACAGTACATAGTATGTTTCTACGCCGGAGTCTAACTATCCTTAGCTATTTATTATCTTAATTTCACTTGAACGACAGCTGTTACCTTGATGTGGTTGTTAGGCCTAACATTGAGCTATCCTGGTGGAACGCTTGTTCCCTCTAGGTCCTACCATACCAGAAACATTTGTTGGATATAGGTAAGAAAAAAGCAGTTAATTTTGCGGGATGAAATAATACACTATGATAAGGTCCCGACGGCGGAGTCGTGTTGCTGACTGGATGGAGGATATGACAACAGCAAGTTGTCTCCCGAAGATGACCAACAGTGCCAAACTGATACCGCCTTACTATGGGAAAGGGAGTTAGAAAAAGTCGACCCTAAAAATAGCACGCTACCATCTACCCTGCTGTGTCGATTCCGGTAACCTGAGTTCATAGTCAGGTTCAAAAGCAACAAGCTAAAATCCTGAAAGGTCGTGTCTGAGTGGCCTGAAACAGATGTTCCTCGTGCTCTACAGTCACGCATTTACCCTCCAGGTACCTCAAGAAGAAATGATCTTTCATGATGTGGGCAGCTGGAAAGTGTCAACCGTCCTCAGATTTGCAGTAGTATACAAAACTCAACTGACCATACTTCACCTGTCATGGATTCACTTCCTGATACCAATACTAAGCCTCTTCCTAAACCTTTCATCTTGCAACCATTGCCAACGATCCAAGCCATTGGAACACTGTTCTTAGTCTCTTACGATCCCTCTTTCGATTTTATATTGGGGCTTCGGACCTCCAAACCCTATGACAATTCAGACAACAGGTATCGCTAGCCAGAAATCCGAAATATCGAGTCATGGATGTATGCTGTGTTTCTGAGACACATATGCAGGATGCGAATATAGTAATTCACAATTTAACCTCATCTGGCCGTTGTAATGAATTTCCCAAATTTATCTTACAGGTATCCAGATACCCAATCGCTAGCCCTCACGGGCTCGCTGAAGTATTCATAGCATCAAGTTGCAGATCTGAAAGTGCACTTCTTGACTGGAAATCAATAAATGACCGTCTGAATGGATTTACAAGAACTAGGAAGGATCGTGAGACTAGCCGATGTCTATCCGTAATCTCCACCTATGCGCCTACCAGCTGCAGCTCGGATAATGCCAAGGATGAATTCTATCAAGAGAATCCTATTTTGCCACAGAAAGCGAAGCGTTTTGATGTAGTCATAACAGCAGGGGCTTTAATGCTCAAGCAGGAGAGCTGCTTCAATCGGAAAGGCATCCTGTGGTAACGAACCGACAGTGTTGATTGTCTTTTGCAATTTTGTTCTGAGAACCACTTAGTTGTTTTGTAGTCAGCAGTAACTTCAAGCATGAGGAGAGAGACTGTCTCACATAACGTCTGTGAACATCAAACTAACGATGGATACAAGTAGATCAAGTAGTCGTTGTTGGAGGATTGCCGCTTTTTCTGTTTGGATTCTGATTGCGCGTTAGTACGTGCAAGTAGGTGTATGTCTGCACTTTACTGGTTGCAGGAGACAAATTGCAGGGAAGTCTATATGCACATGATTGGAAAATGAGAAAATTAGGTTTATATTTAGGGAGGAGATAGCTGAGCATTTACCTGAATGTGACAGCAATGCTCACCCTAGTGTCATATTCAATCTGCTGTCGAAACAGTGGTAACGAAATTTGGTAACCTCAACCTATGACCAATGTTTGGCAGACATCAATGAGTTCTCTCAACGTCATTCAAGCCGAATAATGAGAAATACTCATTCCAGCAGTCTATGGCCACAATGGAGAGCGAAAGCAGCTGAAACGAGACTTGACCAACAGTCTTTTCTTGCAATGATCGCGGGCAGTCGTGGATTGCAAGAGGGATGGAGAAGGTGTCAGCAATTGATAATACCTGCTAATTATTCAGGCCTATTAAGAATGCTGGCAAAAAGAAGACGATGGTTTGTGAAACCCTCACCAAAATGGATGTTACCGTGATAACATCTCAGGACAGATGCCTACATCGTTGAGGCACAGTTCAACTGGCTCACAGCAATACCTCAGTTGCCCAGTATCTATGAGGAACCTGAATGTGATGTTACTGTCGGTCCTCCAGCTGTCCTCGAACTCGAAAACCCTGTTTTTAACCTCGAACGATATAATGCAGCAGGACCTGGAGATTTGCCACTTGAAATTTTTCAGTATGGAAGTAGGAAAAAACTAATGAGTAGAGTAACGGAGATACTAGGAAAGTGTATGAGAATGAGAAATGGTGCTCTTAGACTGTCCTACTTCACCGGTCATTTTTGGTTTGTTGAAATAAGTCTTCTTGTGACAACGATAGAGGAATTAGTTTGATTAATATCGTGTCTAAAATCCTTGGGTTCGTAATTGTCTGACGCCTAACTGGAGCCTGAGAACAACGAACTCGAGAAAAGCAGATAGGTTTGAGACCTAGACGAAGGTACATCGTTCAGATCCTCACCCTTTGACAAGTTCTGGAACATAGACATACCTTTCGGTAACTGACATGTACATACTATTTGACCTGAAGGCGGCATTCGACTTTGTCGACCATGTGTTGTGACAGTGTCTGACTTTGAAGAAAGTATCGAGCAATTATGTAACGTTGATCAAAGCTCACTATGCGAACTCACAGAGAAGCGTATGGGCTTAGGGAGAGTTGTTGTGTGAATTGATGACAACTAGCGGTGTTTGCTAGAGATACCACTGTCATCGTTCCTGTTCTACTTTGTTATAGATGTATTAATGGACATAACCTTTGACATCTCTGACTTCTCAGGGATCGGTCTACTCCCTAGAGGGCATCTGGTTGACTTGGGGTATGCAGGCTATATTGTCTTTTTAGGTGAAGACACTTTCACAATGCAGGGTCTTCAAGACTCATTGAGCAGAAGTCTGTATATGTTTAGCATGGGTTTTGCACCTGTCAAATGGCAAGACGCTTCTCCAGGACTGGTCTGCAACTATTCTCAGTCTAAGGTAGTTGAATGTGTCGACCACTTCACTTACTTACTTGGGGAGTTGCATCAGTGCTAACGAAACGTTAGGTGTTTGACTGAAATCTCATCTCGGAAATAGAAGCCTTGTTTGGTATTGTCAACTTGCATCATCTTTGGCACCGACTGAAGGAGAGATATTCGACTAGCTATCAAAGGACGAGTTTACTGTGCTGCATTCCGTTCTGTCCTGTAATACGGATGAGACATGACCGTTAAAAGTAGAAGACATGAATCGGCTACAGGGTTTTTTTTTATCATAGGTGTCTTCGTAGCACTTCTCATGTTTGGTGGAATCACCATGTGAACCATGCTGAAGTTAAGTGAAGGGTACTTGGGGAGACAGGCAAATCGATTGATGAGGTTATGAACCCTCAACGACTGGGGTGTTGTTCTCGCTTAGCCACCACCTGCTCTGGGTAGCGATACTGTCAGAGGTTAGATTAGTTTGGAAGAGGGCTCTGTGGGTAAACGCTGAGACGCGCATGGAGCAAGTTTCTGGTTCTTGGCCTTAGCCGTGTGGAATACTTGGTTAGAGTTCTCGAAATGATAGGAATCAATGGTTGCAAACCCTCTGTGACGCAAGTGAAAATCAGTAACGATAACGCAGATTTATTCAATCTTTGACGTCTTCGGAATCCTGAATGTTTTTTGAGTAACCATTCTTAGATTCCTTCTCCACCCATACACTGTTCTCTATTTTGATATCAATCTTTTTCTGTCCACTTGTTCTTTGCATGCTGCTGCAAACTGAACTGTTGCACTTGTATGCGAGGTTCTACGTTGATTTTGTGTGATGGTGTCTTTTAATTTCATTGTAGTCGGTCTCGCACATCTTTGCCATACCGCCTGGCTCAAATACGAATGATTGGTTATTTATCAGCCAAAAATTATTCAACATAGGCTGTTTCTGGGAGGTTTTCAGACTGCCCTTTGTTACATTCGAATGATAAACGGGATTTCGACATACAAACGGAGAATTCCATTTCCATCAGAGATTTATATCATAACCATTGAACACTTTGGGTTAACAAGCCTCTGTTACTTCGTAGTTTGGAATTCTAGCAGTGGTGTTTCACGACATCGTGATAGATCAGGCACAGGATCATCGGGTCTTATTGTGAACACGTTACCACTCAAACATTGGCATAGGGTCTGGCTGTCCATTACTTCTTTTTCTGCCGATTTGCTGTTAAGTGCAACTTTGCAACCAAGCGATGCCTACAAATCAGCAATTGAATTGACCTTGAATACCGTAGAAGTATTCATTTTATGTGCATTATCTGGCGTTTCTGAACTAGTCGTCTAAATTTAGCTGTGTACATTTTGACCAGGTTCATTTGTTACATAAGCGCAGAATCTTTAACGTTTGATTTCAGTCTCTCACCAATCTGGCTTTCAAACTGTACTAATGGTATATGTTTAGAATCTACAAACCTACAAAGATATTCAATTTTATGCACGCACAAAACAGTAGATAGAATAACAGCAGAAAAAGTGCCGATAATAATAATAATAATAATAATAATAACAGACTTTATGTCTCTTTTGAGGGATTTAAGTCTTTTGTCTTTTGGTAGTTTCACTACGCACTCTCCTCACTAAGTCGACAATTGATGCCAGCTTCTTTTTGAAAAGTGAGCAGTTGGTTTCAATCATTAATCGTCTAGGTATATGGAGTAACTTAGTAAGCTGTCTTCAAAGCACCGCACATACTCCAGTGATTCACAAAATATCACGCTACACTAAAATACTGCACAGTAGGGAAACGTTCTTCTGTGTGATACATAACAATAACATCTTGAGGTATTCATGTTCAGTTACACTGTTTATGATCTTTTACTTTTTCTTTGCTGCTTAGTTTGGATTTCTCAGGTTCGCATATTCCAGAGGCTTCTTTACTGTTTGAAGAAAGTGTAAAGACTTCATATTCAAATTTAGGAGGGAATCGTACTTGCCAAATCACTTCAGAGCAGTTACATGAAGAATCTTTACCCAGAGAACCTCCTAGAAAATCTAATGGTTCCCTTAAAATTGATGGTGTTTCGAACAACTGTTTCATTCAAGAAGATGTTACAGAATATGACCCAAGCCGTTATCAAAATTCCTGTAAACCCGAAACTAAAAGCTCTCCAGTTCATATGACGTTGCCGCAAGATACGGAATATAAAGTAAATAAAAATGATCAGAAAAGTACATTCTCCGAAATTCTGCCTGCATTTGATGATACAAATACAACTGTATATCTTCAGAATATCCTTTCTAATCTTCCTTTTTGTCAGTTGGAACGTCTTGAACAGATCATTACAGTGATATTAAACAAAGATAATTCAGACCATGTTAAAGAAGATCCTCATAGAGATAGCCTTGATTGTGAAAATGATCAGGACACTTTGCATAAGAACAATCTTAAAAAAGGCATCAGCGTTGGCGTTAACACAACTTTTTTAACCAGCGATACCAACTTGAAACATAAAGGTATTTATTTAAAGCAACTGGTCCCTTTGATAAATTTAAACCACGTAATGAGAAGACGAAGATTATCTGAAACATATGATGTATTAGCGCTATACATTTCGAACAATCTGATCACACATGGACTTGTCGAACTATTTATATGAAAATTTACGAAAAGGTCAATGAAGTTAGTGGGAAACATAGGAATAGGAAGGGATAGAAAAGGAAGACCTTATTCTTGGTATGAAAATTAAAATCAATACTACCAAGGTAGGTTCAACATGAGTACAAATTGTTTTTGTATACATAAAGGGGGTTTAAATTTACGGATGGCAAGAGCTTCAATGAATTTAAGCACTCGGCTCTGACCACTTTTATGCCATCCGTAAATTTAAACCCCCTTTATATATACAAAAACAATTTGTACTCACGTTGAACCTACCTTGGTAGTATTGATTTTAATTTTCATACCAAGAATAAGGTTTTCCTTTTCTATCCCTTCCTATTCCTATGTTTCCCACTAACTTCATTGATCTTTTCGTAAATTTTCATATAAATAGTTCGACAAGTCTATGTGTGATCAGATTGTTCGAAATGTATAGTGCTAATACATCACATGTTTCAGATAATCTTCGTCTTCTCATTACGCTGTATAAAGGTATTTATATTTGTTCTATCTCATTTGTTTCATTTTTAATTCCTATGTAATGTAAATGATTGCTGTTGGTACCACGCATTACTGAAGCAATAACTACGCCTGCAAACTACCAAAGTAAAATAAAATTACAGGAATGCGTATTGATCAAAAATATTTACGTGTGTGGAAAGCTTTCTTTGTCTACGAGGTCCTAATTTGATCCTACGTAGTACAGTGGTTAGGAATATCGAATACTTCAATTATGCAAGTATATGGATTGTGACCAATTACTAAATTTCGGCACTTACCCCGAAATCTCAATTAGTATTCGTATCTTTAATACAGAGACAGTTTTCTCCGACCTACAAATACTTAGTTTTGCAGCAAAGCAGTTCGCTATGGTAAACAGTAATGGTTGAAGTTTGACATTAGGATTAGACATCCAGTATTCGATGATTAGTGCCCGTCACATCATCGCTTACGCGTAGCAGAACTGCTAAGCGGTTAGTGTTGGGGTTAGATTTAACGTTTAAAAGTGGTAAGGACAAGTTATTCAATGATATTGTGAACCTGTTTCTATTGAAATAGTTTTCACTTATCCTCATGTTATGTGGATGTAGAGTAGAATAGTAGAAACTTCTGAGTGATCACATCAAGTTTTAAGCACTAGGATGTCACGGTCTAAAGACCTTGTTAACGAAGATACACACTCCTAATTCTGCCCATAATCGAGTATTTTCTCCAACTATTTTACAATTTTTTCTGACTGTTATTTCCTATGTTTGTAACAAGTGTAATAATTTAAAGCAACACAGTCATTTACAATTTAGGTCGTTGTTACAGTAAGCTTTATTTGTGAAATAGTGGAGAATATTTGTAGCTCAGATGGATGGTCTTGGTTGTATTGTGTTCTCTGAGCTGGGTTGTCTAACTGTAAAGCTTTCATCGTCTTTCTGGACGACATCATCAGCACTAACTTCAGTACGAAGTCATACTGAAGAAAGACGATGTAAGCTTTACAGTTAGACAACCCAGCTCAGAGAACACAATACAACCAAGCTTTATTTGTTTCACCCATCTCACCTCATAGTCACAGTCGATACGTGCATTGGTGAAACCATGATTAAAAGTTTTCTAAACCATTACTATTTAACTGTTCAGGCGCTGTAAGTTTGATCACTACATCAGCATTTTCGCTCTAGGTTCATATATTCCACTCAAAACACATAAGAGTGGGTAATATAACTTAGATCAGGTTAAGCGAAATACAATGTTTTTATCTGCTTCTTAGTGTGAAAGACAGAATGACATCACTAAAGTGAAAAGTAATTTCAATATATTTCGAGTATTCACGGTATTTGAAGTATTAAATTTACACCATGCAATTGGTTAAAGTGATAGAGTACATACTATCACAGGATATATCTGCTGGATCCTAGGCGGAATTCAGGAATTTCACTGTCTTTGAGCAACTCTTGAATTAATTTCAAACCATCGACATTTATTTTCATCAAACAAAAAATTTGATTATTGTATCCAAGATTACGTGAATTAAAAACGATCGAAATGAACGTGTATCCTATTGGTTTTTGTTAGCGACGATGTTCACCGAATCCGCTAAAGTCGAAAGCGAAAAAGGGCTTTGAATCAGCATTGCTCATATTGCTCGACGAAATTCCTGAAAAATTTATTTTCTTAATCAAATGCAGTTCCTTATTTGGTTACAATAATAGTTGTCAATATTCTTGGTCATTTTATCTCCAATCTCAAGTATAACAACAGTGTAGAAAGTATTTTGAGTTAAAAAACAAATCATGATTCTCTGATTTCTAATTGGCCACTTCAAAGATGCCGAATTTCGGTGGGTTCATCAATCACTTCGTATTCAACGTTCACATCAACCAACCTGTTTGTAGAAATTTACCAGTTTTTTTGTGGACGAAATATTTTAGGGTCTACTGTATCTGATTAATTCATTCAATTTACACTGAATTACCACCGAGTTTTATCAAACTGGAGTGGTTTTTTTCATTCTAAGATTTGATGACATCGGTAAGGTAAAACTCAGTTTCATTGTGTTGAATTGTTGTATCAAACGGTAATTCAAACGTTTTTCATTGTTTTCATAACATCAATAACTTGAAGTAAGTTTGCTTCATTCCATGCACACGGTTCATCTATGCAGTAAGTATAAGATGTCATCGATGTAGAGAAGATTTGCAAAATATTTTGTTGTTCTTATTAGGAGCAGGTCATATCAGTTTAGTGGTTGACACTGGTAGTATGAATTGGTACACTTTTGTGTAATATTCTAAATCATTTTGACTGTACCATAAGATGGTATAGTTGTGGTCAACATGCATCCATTTATAAGTATTATCATTCAACTTTTACATTACGTCAAGGTGGCTACTTTTTTCGAAATCGCTTATCTGTATAGATCACGAGATTAACATGATGAAATTATTAAAAAGGGATTGTCTTACACTGTTACTTTTTGTCATTCAAGAGAAAGCCATTCGTTTCATCGATGTTAACGTAAAACTTGAGTAGTATGAAAGCGTAATTTCGTGCTAGTTTTTTGTATTTTTGACGTAGCGTTTAGTGGTGCAAAATTGTTTGCTAGATAATGTGTCACTTTACAAAAAATAAAAAAACCCTAGTGTCTTGTAGTTTGTGGGTGTTTATGAGTAGATGGCACTTTGTTTAGTTCAAAAATAGGAACAAAATGAAAGACTTTTCTCTATCGAAATCATCGTATTCTGATTTTTTTTAAATGTATGATTTTCCGCACTCGATTTCTCGTTTACACTAAATGTCAGTGCATAATATTTGATTTAGAAGAATGCAAAATTCTACGATTCACAGTTAGACACGTACAGTTTAGATGAGGGTACTTTATAGAAAGAGGTAGTTGTGTATGTTGTAGAAGCATGAATTTAGTTCATTTGTGAGATATTGTTTAGTTTTTCAGTCAATGAACTATTTGTTTCAATCCAACTCCATCTATCAAGGTTAGTATAGCCAGGTGGTTTAATCGAACCTCAAAGAATAGATGTTGATCGTAGCCACTTAGAAAACGGAGCTACACTGGGTCACGAAAGTGCATCAGTTAATCGAGCGACCGATAGATGTATCACTGTGTTTTCATCATCTCTAATATCAGTGTTAGCAAGTGATTAACGCACAGTTAGTTTATACTGGATTTATTCTTTGAAAGAAAATTGGTTTTTCTTGTTTTATTTTCCTGTGCAGTGAAATGTTGGTGTCATCATATTCGTATAAAAACAATGCTATATATTTTCATTTTATTTAGAAAAAGTAAGTGATTTTGGGAGCTTTCATAGTAATCAAATAGACCAGTCTCTACCCACGATTATCTCAACCGCTAACGATGAGCATGAAACGAGATATCAAGACAATAATATACACCAAACTCACGTGAAAACTGTGGACACCAAAGTTACTTCTAGCCCTATTTTTAAAGTGACATCTACAAGCCAAGTTAAAGAAGAAGTAAGTCATTAAAATTTGACTAAAATTTCATAACAAGCTAGCTTTCTTGAAAATATTCACACTGCACCAATTTCTGGAACACAGGCACTATTACCAACTCCTGACAATAGCTGTATTTCCCAGTCTGGAGGCGGCACTCGACTCCGTTGATCGAGAAGTCTTATGGCAATGTCTCTCACTGGAAGGCATGCCGAGTAAGTACATCACCTTATCGAAGGCTCTCTACTCGAACACTTGTGGGCCTGTTAGAGCCTATGGTGCAATATCCGGGGAGCAGCGCTTGTCGAGTGGTGTTCGTCAAGAATGCCCACTCTTTCCATTTTAATACCATTTTATCATAAATATTCTTATGGAGGTTTCCCTCTCGTCACCTGATTACACAGAGGTTGACCTGATCGTGGGAGAATTTTCGTTAGACCTAGAATATGCAGATGACGTAGTCCTGTTAGGTGAAGACGTGCACAAGATGCAGAGTCTTCTCAACACTTTGAGTGTGGCAATTTGAGAATGTTTGGATGCGTTTCTCACCATCCGAATGCAAATTGTTGCTCCAGGACTAATCTTTAGCGGTCCCTAGGCTAACAATGGAGAGTGAAGTAGTCGAGTGCGTCGGACACCTCCCTTACCTGGAAAGTCGGATAAAAGCAGTTGGATCAGCGGCCGGTGAAATCTCTGCACGGACAAAAAAAGGCTCGACTGGCTTTTGCCAACTTACGCCACCTATGGCGCCGCCGTGACATCCGGTTGTCTATTAAGGGTCGCGTGTACTGCACAACAGTCCGTTTTGTTCTACTGTATGTCTGTGAAACATGGCCACTAGAAGTAGACAACATGAGAAGGCTTCAGGTTTTTGACCACCGTTACCTTCGCAGCATAGGCAGTGATTCGTGGTGTCACCAGGTGAGTAACGCAGAAAACAGGCGTAGAGTTTTAGGGAGAAGAGGTAAGTCAGTTGATGAGGTTGTAAATCTACATCGACTGAGATGGCTGGGACATGTGATACACATGCCTAGTTGCTGTCTGCCTCGTCACACCATGTTGGCTGAAGTAGGTGCAGGCTGGAAAAAGGCTCGAGGCGGCCAGATTAAAACATGACATCAACGTATGGAGTGTTTGACTGTTGGTTTGAGCCATGTGGGGCGATTCAGACTAGCCGGTCGGGGTCCTCGGGAAAGAGAAACCAGTGGTTGGAGACTCTTAGTGATATGGCTCACAACCGATGTCAGTGGCATAGATGTATACACACATTATCCTCATCTTAAAGCTTTACCAAATCTCACCATTTTCTCATTCTTCCTTTCTCTCTTTTAGTACTTTGTATTTCTTTCAACTGAATTTTCTTTTCTCCATCTTCCACTTCACTGCCTTTTTACTTGATGTATTGATATGAGCTGTGGTAAGTCGGACCGTTACTTAGTAATGCCTGGTCCTATGCTGATTTGGATGGATGGATCCTTGGAGATCACTTGAATTATATACAATAATTTGTAATTATGTGGGAGATTCCAAATATGTGTAAGTGTTAAAGTAATAGGTGATATCTAGGTTTTTTGAAGACTAAGTTGAACAGTCGTAGCATAAAGGGTGGTGTATGCTATGAGACAACCAAGGTAACTTAACACTGACTGACTGCACTAGTCACCCTTGTGTACATTCATCCAATATACAATGAACCACACTTATTGTGTTAGAGCTAGCAATACCACCTGGCTGCTCAAACCGCGGTAGGTGGAGCGGAGCTCGAACCCGTGACTCAGTGGTTGATAGTCATCTTAAATCACTGAGGCACAGCTCTACGGTAACCAAACAAACATGGTATAGCGGTTCCCTAGACCGAATTATACGAATATAATACTGTGCACACTTTTAATTGACTGAAATCGGATAGAGTTTCGTGTTGAATGTTGATTGGTTTTGGGAGGTTGGAAATGGCTCATATGTATCAGCGGAATATATAAATTATTTTTTGAAGTATTACTCCAATGTTCATATTCTATTAATCATTGCCTTATTTCATTGTCTTTTCTATTACAGACGAAAATGCAGTTGGATTCACAACGTCAGAATGATACAGTAGACAAATACAGTTTGCTGTTAGTAAGTTTAAGAAATGTCTTTTTTATACGAATGCCTTTCATCTGTAAGTCGTTAAAAGCTTTCTTCGTTTAATTCGATATTTATTTTAGAAGCTAAACAGTCACCGTTTACTGACCCATATAATCTACCACCGACTAGTAAATTTAAACTGTCACATTATATATTTTACACACAAAAAGTAACCAATCAACATTTTTGCTGACCCATGAGGGAGAAATCACATTGAGAACTCGGTTGCAAAAAGAAGGGTTTTGCAACTTTTTCTTGTGTTTCTCTGGTCCTGCGTCTTTTCAATTATACTCTCTTTTATTTTGCCCCGTATTTCATCACATTTTCCTGCGTTACCTCGCGGAAATGTCCATTGAGTATATTTCTAGTCCCAGCCTGTAACAAAGGTTACACATGATGGATGCATATACTACTGTGGGATATATTAATGTGTCTATCTCTACTCTAATCTTTGTGGACCAATGCAGTGGATGCATTACCAGCCTATCGCATGTAAAGAATGACTGTAATACGGATATGAAAACATGGTATCGCTTTTTAAATGGTTTTTCTACACAGAGGTGTGATGGTTTGTCATATATTTGACACAGACTGGCTGATAAAAGCAACATAAATCCTCGCATTCAGGTGCATCGGCTGAAGTTGCTACACCTCACAGTAGTACACAAAGAACAACTTTCAATGATATACTGTTGGACTGTCTATACGCGCGTAATAAAATTTGGGGCGAATATGATATTAGTGCTTAAGGCATGCTGACAACTGATCCATCATCTATAAAAATTTGTTGATATATGCTACAGAAAAACATGTGATTATGTCTTTTTTAACGGATTTACTAGGCACCAAAGGATTTATAACTTGAAGTAAAAGAGCGAATTCCTCAAAACACTTTAATCTCTTTTGTCCATCGTTCTTCCACATACTACTCAGACCACTACAAGTGATTATGTGGTGTGTAGATGCTCAAGAACATAATAAACATAAAATTCATGCTATCGGTTTATCTTCTCGAAAACGTTTATGCACCTGAAATCGAAATTCGCTGCCGTTTCTATGAATGGCATACTTTAATCACATTTCTGGATTAGTTAAGATTATCTCGTTGGGATTAAACATTGACAAGTTTCCTTAGGCTACAATCTCCATTAAATATCAATTTTTCTGTGTCACTTTGCTGGTTGTAAGTTATCCCACTTCTGGATAACACCTATCCTAGCATAAAAGGGTTGTTTGCAGTATACCCTTGACAATGATAGAGTAAAATGTCTTTCATTGTTAATTAACTGTATAATTCACTTGGTTTTAGGTTTTCCGGGTTTATTGTAGTCGATTTGAGCAGATTAACAGCAACCAATAGAAAAGTGTATCTTAAGTCTTTTTATTTATAAGCTACACTGGGTTCGGGTATTTTGGAACTGAAACCTGATGTTGGCATAGAACAAAGTATATCCCATTTCTTGTTAAACAAATCACAGAACATCTGCAAAAACACTTTTCGATACAAGTTGGTTACAATTCAGTTGTAAAGCCAATTGTTTTGCACACTATTCAAATTTACTTTTGATTTGATGTAGATAAAGATCTTTTCGATAAAACAGCTTAAATATATGGAGAAATAGACGTGTGTGTTCGCGTGTAACCCGGAATCCTAAGCTGTCTATCGTTAAAGTATATAGTATTAACTGAAACCAACATTTCATTATTCATCATTCACGTATGATTTTTTAACAGGCAAATATTCAACAAGTTTTGAATAATAGAGTGAGTTGTGATTCTCTTTCATCTGTATCACATCAAAATAATCAGAAGTTGATGAGCTCCGATAATCAAAAGGCTCAAATTCATAGTGAAGAACTACCAGCATCCAATTCTATTCCTGCTGCACTTCATCAACAAAACAACTTTATCGAGTATAATTTAACTAAGTTTAAAAATCCAGAGAGAGTCAACCAAAGAGTATCAAGCTGGTTGTCGTCCGATCCCAACAGTGTATATGACAATCAGCCATCACCGTCCGCTGAAGTTGGCGATGCTGTATTACCCATCAGCAGTTATCTTACGAGGTAATTTGCTTTTTTTTCTACTTCATATATCTTAAGTCTGTATAAAAAAACACAACTTTTAAAGAAAATTCCGTGATATAGGTATACGTGCTAAATGTAAAATGCAGGGTCTTCTGAATGCCGTAAGCAAACGTCTGACCAGTGTTTGGCACCCGTGATGAATAGGATGGTGCTTGAGAAATGGTATGCACGGACTCGTAATTTACGGTTAAGGGGTGAATTGATGAAAAGTGTGTAAACTATTTCACTTACTCAAGGAGTTGCGTCAACCATGATGGGGTGGTCGATGGTAGGATCACAGTTCACTCAGATATACGAGCTGCGTGTGGTGTCCATATCAACTTCTCCCAGAATGGTCGACCGTTCAAGGTGGAAGACATGGGGAAGTTACAGGTTTGATCATCGACGCCTCGGTAGCACTGCTCACACTTACTGGGACCACAAAGTGAGTAGTGTTGAAATCCGCTGCAGAGAATTAGGAAAGGATGCCAAGTCAGTTAATGAGTCCATGAACCTCTAGTCAACTGCGGAAGTCGAGATATTCGTCACACACATCTGTCCACAATCTACCCCAATATGCAAGGTCAACTGGATTGGGATTAGTTTTGGATAAAGCTAAGAGTGGGCCATTCGGTGAAGTATAACACCAATCCATTAGGTCTTTGACTGTTGGTTTGGTCATGTAGACTGTCTGACTAAACCTGTCGTAAACCAATAGTTGAGGAGTCATATTAGAAGGGCAAAGGTATATATTCAGTCTATACCGTTTTCGAAATTCCGAATTCGCTTTCTTAACTGTTTTCGTTTATCCTAACATCACTTCCTTTCTGTCCATTCTTTTTTTCCAAACTGTTTTGAATCTGGCAACAAGAACTAATGCACTTTTGTGTAGTATTTTTCATTGGTGTTCGTAAAATTGAAAGGACACACTGCAAAATGTTTAGTCTTTTGAACACCCTGTATAGTATCCACTTAACCATGCCTAAAGTCAAAATTCTTCATAAGATTCAGTCAGTAAGTCAGTGTCAACATAAAACCTGAAACTTCTACGTAATGTTCCAGGTTGCCACACTTCACGCCAGCACGTCAACACACAGGGCAGCGACATGAGGAGGTAAGAAGGAAAGTAATTAAGAGTAGTCATCAATATCAACATAGGACCAGGCATTACTGCGTAAAGGTATAAGTTGCCACACTTCAAACCCGCACAACAAGTAACAAAGTAGTAAGATGAAAGATGAAGAAAGAAAGAAAATCGGTCGAAATCAGTAACAAAGAGTAAGGATGAATGAGAAAATACTGAATTCAGAATAGTGGTTAAGATGAAAACAAAGTGTGGATGCATCCGTGCCACTATCGTCGATTCTGAGCCACATCACTAAGAGTCTCCAACCACTGGTTTCTCTTTTCCCGAGGACCCCGACCGGCTAGTCTGAATCGCCCCACATGGCTCAAACCAACAGTCAAACACTCCATACGTTGATGTCATGTTTTAATCTGGCCGCCTCGAGCCTTTTTCCAGCCTGCACCTACTTCAGCCAACATGGTGTGACGAGGCAGACAGCAACTAGGCATGTGTATCACATGTCCCAGCCATCTCAGTCGATGTAGATTTACAACCTCATCAACTGACTTACCTCTTCTCCCTAAAACTCTACGCCTGTTTTCTGCGTTACTCACCTGGTGACACCACGAATCACTGCCTATGCTGCGAAGGTAACGGTGGTCAAAAACCTGAAGCCTTCTCATGTTGTCTACTTCTAGTGGCCATGTTTCACAGACATACAGTAGAACAAAACGGACTGTTGTGCAGTACACGCGACCCTTAATAGACAACCGGATGTCACGGCGGCGCCATAGGTGACGTAAGTTGGCAAAAGCCAGTCGAGCCTTTTTTTGTCCGTGCAGAGATTTCACCGGCCGCTGATCCAACTGCTTTTATCCGACTTTCCAGGTAAGGGAGGTGTTCGACGCACTCGACTACTTCACTCTCCATTGTTAGCCTAGGGACCGCTAAAGATTAGTCCTGGAGCAACAATTTGCATTCGGATGGTGAGAAACGCATCCCAAACATTCTCAAATTGCCACACTCAAAGTGTTGAGAAGACTCTGCATCTTGTGCGCGTCTTCGGCATCCCTTCCAATAGGAGACTGCTATGAGACCTCAGTCGAATGCCTTCAAGTAAAGAAATACAGCCAGTGTCGGTGAGTGTGCCTATGTTCCAGAACTTGGCGGAGCATGAATATCTAGTCGATACATACACGGCCAAGTCTGTAACCTGCTTGTTTTTCTCTGGCTTGCTGCTCCCGAGATCCACTCAAACGTTTATGATAATAAAACCTGGAGTCTTAGACACTATGTTCGTCGGACTTAATTCTTATGGTATTCACAAGAGGACTACCCCCTCTAAAAGAAGGCTGGAACAATGAGTGAGATCAGTCAGACAAAGGTAATCATACACCAGTTAACTGGTCAAAAATGCTCTACTTTCGTCCTGAGATACTTCAGGTACCTACCACAGTATTTCACTGCATAACGGGCTACGGAATAGTAACTAGGGTCCATCTGAAGTGTTTTGCTTGTCATCCTGGTTATTTCTCTTGTTTGTGGATCTATCCTTCTCCGCTATGTTCTCATTGACCATTTCGCTCCCATTTACTTCATAAATTTAAACATCTACTGTTATCTATCGTTACTGCCTTTTTTAGCTCCTTAGACTTCACTACCCACCACTTTTCGCGGTTGCATAGACTTCCAGTCAGTCTAGGTTGATGGATGAGCGGTGTTGTGCTGTTCGAATAACTGTCTAATCACTTTGTCGCTACAAACAGCCTCGATGCTCTCACTATCTAGCTGCAATCGCAGCGGTCTTACCGCTTCTGTTTTTCTACGTCCATTGAGACACACATATTTACGCTGAATCACTATTTGAGTCGCTTCTTTTCGTTGTGCTTGGAGCCTGTAAGAATGCGTCCACACACGTCCACTAACTCAAAAGAAACTGCTATCTCATAGCAGTATAGATAACCCCATATGTTGTTAGTTACATTCAGTCTTCGGTTCTCCTACGTTCTATCGATTGCTTCCACGTAGGCAAATAATAAGGCACGCTGTTCCAGTTAACCATCAAATTGCATTTGTCCATCGACCGGTGCATAGTTGTATGAGCATCATTCATAGATGCACACAATAGCAGGGAAGCCACTTCTCATCAACTTTTACGCCAAATGTCACTTTCAGTCATTACTTCATGGTGTTTTTTCCTCTTCAACTCCAAATATCCTCCACCATCTTGTGTTTACATGAGCAAACACAAACTTCTTCAGCACCTCTTTTCTACTTTAGTTTATTGGTAAACGTATTTCCACTGCACCTTGGCACAAGATTTGTATATTTATTAGCTAGTGTAACACTGTTAGTATCTCATATCCTTAGAAATTCTATGGGAGGTACAGTGTTGGAAAGTATCATCGTAATTTAGGAAACCACTATTTACTACCTCATACAAAATACAAATGAATATCCTACACATTTTAAACGCTTTATCCTATTTCAGGACGCAAAGCCATACCTCCGACCGTTTCCCTCCAACAAACCAAGTCAATTCGAATCACAAATATGAGATTCTAAATCCTCTACATAATATGCATACAAATAAAGTGAAACAACAGGACCGAAATCTTCTGATGAGTGTTTTCTCCAGTGACACCAACCAAAGTCTTTATTTAGCCTCCTTGGTGAACAAGTATTTGGGGCCCGAACTGCTCGATAGTACAAGAGAAGGTTCTATGGAAATCGACTACAGTATGGCCACACTGGATTACATGAAACGGCATGGTATAATTGAAGATTTTAAATCGGACGAAAGTAAATCAGATAGTCCACCAGTAAGCAGCACTCCAACAACTTACCGCAAAAATGCATCAATGAAGTATGCTCGCCATTACACTCGGCAAAATGATTGTATCCATCCTCTATCCATTCGTCCGTCATCTTCAATTCCATTTGCACCCATGGCGCCAAAGTCCTCTGATCTACAAGCAAGTTTAACTATCGGAGAGTCGTTACCAAACTTATTAAATGGTCTACGTCTTGATCAATCCCATGTGACTCAGCATGTTAACATTACCAACACGGATATCAAATACCTCTCTACACTAAGTGATAGCACCTTGGAAACGTGCAATTCCAACAGTCCGATTCTACCGGTTTCGGATTATGCTCATATTACGGATTACACATCAAGTGTCATAAACAATCCGATACTTGACTTGGAACGATTGCGGTCACTCCCTAAACTATTGTGACGTATCTCTTTAATGAACCAAAACCAAAGAAGCATTTTGTGATATACACAAATGTATTGTATCTTATTTAGCATTTTACCTGTTTTATACAAAAATAAATTATAGTCAACACAATATAAAATAATTTTTTTTGCATAAAAGAAAGCATACATCAATACATATCATCGTCTTCCTCATTGTTTGGATGTTGATTTTTAATTTGTTCTTGACTTTGATATAGTTCATACACCTAAAGTGGCAAAAACAGAATATGAAGGCATCGAGATTCAGACAATGCAGTATCGTTTAACTTTCCCAACTATTAGCACTTATGGGTCTATTAAAAGTATACAACAAAGTGAAGTTCTCTGTTCCAAAATTAGCAGATGGATAAGAAAGAGACAAATCAACGTATAACCAGCCACAAATGCGATAGGTTCAAGTAACCATATTTTAACGAGGTACGAGCCAAATTTCGTTGGTCGCAAACTAGCATGTATCAACAATAAAACTATTCTAGTCGTATGCATAGGACAGTTTTCTGAATCAATTCACAATATTATGGGTGGTTATTCACGCAGTAAGTACTTTTAAAAAGCTACAAGTAGATTTCGTACAACTTCCTCTGAAGACGATTTTAATAGGATATATAATAGTGGTGTTATACTTTCGTAACAAATAAAACAAAGTTTAAGGACACGTAGAACGAACATGAGACGGCTTATAATTTGATCGGTAGTATCTTTCCAAATACTCTCAAAAATTTATTTTCATCTGGAAAAAACTTCAGTAAAATGCAACCGATCAAATAGAAAAGAGACTTACTAAAATTAGATTCTCAAAGAAAGTGAAAATAAAATTGACAACTTGTAATTGTTGATTAAATGATTTATTTTTTGACCGATTAGTAACGCAAATACATTGGGGGCTGAGTAAACGGTGTTGATATTAGATACAGTTTGTATTTGTTTAAATCACAGTGTTTATTTCCTTGAAGAAGCTCGGACTAAACTTTCGCGTGAAACGTTGGAATTAGTTCATCTCAAATATGCTGTGAATTACACGAATACAAACTATGTCTAATAATCTATTTTCTGTTCACAATTCTCCCCAGTGCTGTATGTTAGGCACATCGATGACAACTTTGTGTCACAACAAAAGTATACTAACAGAAACTAGGTTTGTTTACTTCAATGGAGTAGTAGTTTCAATAAGAAATATTTCATATTGCCAAATTCATCAGATCAGGTTGCGTAATCCTCTGCTGAAACGCACTATTTCATATCCTATTCGTCAAAGTTACATTTGCTCATGAAATCCAAAAAGGTGAGTTTTATGTACAGTGGATGCAATTTTAAGAGTAACAAAGCTTACTTGTTGAGCAGTTGTTGCGTCTTCAGGTTTTTTATCCTCTCGAATTCGAATGAACCTCGGGAATCTCAGTGAAATTCCTTTATGCGGATCAGCCTAAATAATGTGGGTAGTTTAAGGAAAATAGTAAATATGTGAAAGATTGCTTCAGATTGACTAAACAATAAAGCCTTATCGTGTATAATGAAATATTGAGCAGAATATGTGAGCAGTTTGAATGCTACGAAGAATAATTTCCTGTGAAGAGACTTTCAGCAAATGCTTAAATGTCGTGATCATGCCTAGTTTAAAGTCATATCACAAGAATTGGAATCACTTGTGACCAGCTATAAATAGGAGATTACCACCATTTGAGAATTCGCACAACTGCCAATAAGGATGATTAAATACATACTAACCCTGATATTTTCTGAGCCCTTCAAAAAACAGCGACGCTTTTTGGAATGGTTAGAATAACAAATAATATCTATCTACCTCAACAGTGAATACAGTGTACAATGGTAGACTACTTTGTTGCAAGCCAATGCATTGTGCTTCATGGAAATTCTTGACTGTTTGTAGTCATAGGGTTTTACGAACTTACGTCTAAAGCTATTTCCAATGTGGAAAGTTTACAATCTAATTCTTCTTCAAGTCAACATCCATGTTTGCTCTCTAAGCATTTGGGCAAGACTGTACGCTGTTGACTATACAAATCAATAGTTCCGGTGGAAAGCTTACTTCGTGAAAAAAAGACAATTATGAACTCACTAAACCGGCAGCTGCTTTGTGCGCAGGAGATATGCTTAAGTCTGCCGCCTTCACTTCCCATACTTGAGCAGGTTCAAACCATTGGTCTGGAACTAAACCACTTGTATATTGATAATAGGGCTTTGCTTTTTCGATGATATGGTTGTTGAAAAACTCTGAGAATGAGATCAGTTCATCATCTTTCATTCCTGTTCCAATCTGAAAATGTGAAGTAGCTGATTTTAACTTGTGATAAAGAAAAAAATTAAAAATCAGCTAAGCGTCATATCAGAAACTAACTTACTTTGCATATTGTTTGGTATTCTTCAGAATCTGGATCATAGCAAGCCAGTAAATAACCACCGTAACGACCAGCGCGTTTGCCAGTCCCATGGAATCCACCAATCACTACTAAGTCTAGGGTGTCACCAACACCTTCTAAGTAGTCTTTTTTTAATTTCAACCAACTATGAGATCGTTTCGCGATTTCGTAAGTGGAGTTACGATCCAGTGTCTTTACCATCAAACCCTCACAATTGCCTGAATAAATGAAAGAAGCACAATGATTAGTTAGCTAGTCAGCTTTTTTTGTGTTAAAAGCACTAAATATTAATTCTATCACAAGTGCTTATCATATTTCTTTACATGTGCTTCAGGTTTTCTGTGAAATATGATAAAATGGGATCAAATCGGCTTAAACACTCGTAAACTGAAAGGTTCACTTAGTGTGTAGATGATTTGCCGTCAACACAGAGGTTGTTCTTTCTCAACGTGATCATGCAGCACTCAGGAATAAATACATTAGAGGGAGTATTCATCACGGAGTGACATCAGTTGGGGAACCACTGAAAGTCTGGGAGTAATGGACACCTGTTTTGTCCTAGCGTGGGACTCGTCAGCAGTATGTACCCACGACCTGACCAGGGGTCGAACTCAGGACCTACAGGTTTCATCTTAAAATACATTACTGTATAGTGCTCATTAGTGACATACTTCCAGATGGATATCACGAAGTTATAACGAGAAGCCGTGACCTGTGGGGTCTACGCTGGACAATAATCTAGGAACGTTAGCCTACACATCCGCCTATTGGAATTTTCGGAAGTACCACTCACCGTTGAAGGTTTGGATGAAAGTACTATTTTAATGGTTCAAAACCTTTTTACTAGGTGATAGTATCATGTGATGCGACAGAAGAGCAAAATAACGACTGCACTTTATTTTCAAACCACAGGATAACCTCAACTTAGTAGTATAGAATAGTAATTAAAAAGTTGGATCAACATATTCACTTAATTTCTCATGGGGACGATAATCCCTTTCTTAAAGTTTAATAAGAAATTCATTGTCAACAGCATGCTGGCGAAAATTTGATCTGATCTATAGGCCTATCTAACAAATTCACCTAGGACAGCCATCAAATCCAGTTCAATGGAAAATAAACTAAACAAACCGACTATGTACTTAAACCTCTTCTGAAATACCGGAAAGCTATGAGTCTAAATTATAGTCATCCAGCAACCAATAGGTGAAGCATCTATGTATACTTTGTAAGTCAGTACATACATCAATCACTTTTATTAAGGGTAGGTTGAATAGTCATGTTCACTATACAGATGATATACTTAATCCAGTATTAAAAATAGATTTGTTAAGTGAAACTGCATAGCGAGAAAGTACAACCAGAGAGTAGTTAACATCACCCAGTTGGCAGGATTCACAAATCAAATGGACTGGTCTATGGCTGAAATAGTATTGATTCAATTATGTCAAGCGACTAAAAAAATCCACTTCGAATTGTTTAGGTCCCAGGCTCTAAAGAATCAGAAAAATATAGTGAATGGATGTACATAAGCCAGACGTGTTGATTATGTATGTGTATTTACATCGTAAGCCTCACAATTTATAGTACTGCAAAAAATATATACTTATTCAAATCATTTAACTATCCGAACGCCGAACACATACCTTTGATGGCTTCCTCAAGAAAAGTTGCAATTTCATCGGTATCTGATGAATCAAGAGAGGTAGCAATCATGAACTCTCCAGGAATTTGGGGGAATATTTCTCTAAATAGATTATAAGAAATAATAGAGTTGTTATATAATAAACCTACCATTCAACCAGTGTCACATTTTCAATTCAATAGTCTTAAATCCTTTTTTCACTGTATCAAATGGTTTACCATTACGAAAATATCGATAGGAAGAAATAGGTTTGTATGGAATTCAAAAATAATCCGTTTTAGGAACGAAAATCAGATTTCGTCAACTTCATAGACATATTTTACTATTTTCATTTAGTAGTAGTAACCCAGTCAGTATTGATTCATCACTTTTGCCAGTAATTTCATGTAAAGCTTCGAAATGAGATGTAGTAATTACATCCACTGGGCTTATGAATTATTCTGATTTCTGTCACTTTTTGATCCTGTTCACATATTTCACAGCTAGTAGTATAGCTGCAGGCTTTTCGCCATATGGGAGAAATGACATAAAACTAATATACACGAAGTTTGAAAAAAGCAGTTTCTGTCCGACAGTTTTTATAAAGCGATTGGCTAGAACCCAATTAAACCATACAAAAGAAGACTGTGTGCAGAAGATTTTGACGAAATACTCAGATGATAATAGCTAATTGGAGAAGTTTATCCATGAATGCAGGATATGAAGTACAAGAAGAGGCAAGTAAATCCCAATTGACAAGAATATTGTTTGTTTACAACTTCGTTTCACAACAGTAACGAAACTGTGGGGACAGTGAAGTTAAGACTGTAGCGTCACACACTTCCCCAAAATCAATAACCCAGGGTTTGACGACTTTCGACATTGATGCTGACCTTGATAGTTTAACTGGACTCGCTAAGCTGAAGGCACCCGGTCAAGCATCCTCGCCATTTGGCACGCTGTCGTGTTACGTTGCACTGCTCGTATTCGACACTAGCCAGGTAGTTGGAACGCATCGGCATCTTGGCCCAAACACCCAAATATACTATTCCATCCGACTACGCTATCGTGTTCTTCCTTGGTCTCGTATTCATGGGTATATAACAAGTCCGAATAATTAGTGATTGGTCTTTGTGTCTGTCAAGTTCGCACCAGGACAAATCCTAAAAGACTGAATCTTATACCGATAAGGATATACACTACCCAAACTGTTCGACGTAACTTACTTAGTTGTGGCTAGTAGACGAATCTAGGAAGCTAAAATCAAGTAAATTATAAAAAATATTCAGGTAATATATCGAGGCAACTCCCCATAGGAGTCCATATGCCAGTAGAGGTCGAACAATTCCATCCAGTGTAAAAACGGAGAATTACAAGTATCTCAACAAATTCTCATCTGGTTTTAACTGTTTCTACCGATTCATATATGCACGCTACATATTTAAAGAATATAGAAATGTTCATGCGAGCGTATTTCGAAGAACCTGAGATTAAAGGATTCTCATGCATCAGATGGCATGATCGCTTCACGGACAGAACTCAAGTCCACTGCACTATCTTGCCAAATCCATTGTGCTTAAAAAGCTTAAACCTAATCCATGTATTTAGGTCGATACAGTTATCAATCTTGCACTGCCCTTGACGATTAAAGTTTACCATTAATACATATCTTTTCCCAACCAATTCATTTCATCAAAATTTTCTTACCCAAGTTTTTGGTCGTCTTCCTCTCCAAGATAACGAAAGTCGGTAAACATTTTAGGGTGTTGCAATTTAAGATTTTAATTTTCCATTTTTAGTAAGTTTTTGTCTCTGTTGTTTTCCACACATCTTGTTTCAAGAATATCCATTTGATATTCAATCTTTTCCCAGTAATCTTCACTAATTAGTTCACTTCAGCTGGCCTACATTATTTTGAGTCCAGATTATCTTCGGCTTCTATAAGTAAATACTCGTTAATTAGGTGAAACTATGTTTTGTTTTCGTGATGTGTACAGTTAGCTAGTGACGGATAGCTGCTAACTTGACGTGATGGTCAAGCTTGTATATCACAGTGACCAAATGGGCTACACTGGTTGGAACGCTTGTTCCCTTCAGGTCTTACCATGCCAGAAAGGTTTGTTGGACAGAAGTAGGATGGAAAGCAGTTGCCATTGTGGTGTAAATTGCTACGCCTATAATGGGGTTATAGGGCAAAGTCGTACTGCTTTCTGGATAGTACGAGAGCAATAAAGTATTTCCCAGAGATAACCAGCAGTATCATGCTGATGCCGCCTTCCTTGCAGAAATGGGGTTTAGGAAAGGTCGGTCAGAAAAATGGCACACCTCTCTCTTCTCTGTGGTCTTCCAGGGTCGTCAGTATAGACTTTTCCTATCCGGTGTGAGAACAACCAACTCACAAACCGACATTCCTTGAAAAGTTGCATATCACAGACCTGTGGTCACAGAATTCTCTTTCGGTGCTCTTCAGAAACAACCTCTACAATGAGGGGGAGTCAGGAAGTGTCAATCACCCATACGGATCCAGAAGTACACCGGGTCTAATCGGACACAACCTATCCTCCTCAACTGTCTCCTCTTTTGCCTTCACCACCTGGCACAAATATTAGGCCTCTTTCACTTTCCACAACTTCTCATTCTGCTACAATTGACGGCGATTCAAGCCACTGAAACCTTATTCTTGGTCTCCTGAGACCCCGTCGTATATTTTACATTAGAGCTCTCCACATCCAAACTCTATGCCAAATCAGACAACAAGCATTGTTCACCAGAACTCTAGGATCTCGAGTCATGGATATATGCTGTGATTCTTAGACATGTATACAGGAAGCAAGTGTAGTTACTAACTTGACCCCACCTAACCATTGTAAGGAATCTTCAAAATTCACCTTATGAGTATCCAGAGACCATCCAATGGCTAGTTATCGTGGACTAGTTAGCGTAGGCTTAGTATTAAGTTATCGAGCAGAAAGTGCTTTTCTGGACTGGATATCGGTTAAAAGCCGTCTATGTGGTATTTGACTGGATGCATCTGTAGGAAATAGCACGGATCATCAGACTAGCCGATGTCTATCCGTAATCTTCACCTACGCAGTTCGAATAGTGCTAAGGAAGAACTCTATCAGGAGCTGTCAATTTTGCTACAGTAATCAAAGCGTTCAGATATAGTCATAATAGCAGGCGGCTTTAACGTTCAAGTAGGAAAGCTTAGCTCATCGGAAAGGCATCTTGGAGTATCCAACGGATCCCGTACCGACGGACCGACAACAGTGACTGTCTCTTGCAACTTTGTTCCGGCAATCACTTACATGTTTCTGGTCAAAACTAAATTCAAGCATAAGGAGAGATACTGTCTTACATGGGATCCACTGACAACAAATCAACGATGGAAATAAATAAATCATACTGCTAAGCCATCATTCGAGCATTGGCATGTTTAGCGTAAAATGTAAGATAATGCTTCAGGACTTGTTTGCAACTACTCTCAATCTAAAAATAGGCAATGAGGTGCTGAAAAGCCTCGACCACTTCACTTCGAGAGTTGCATCAGCGTTAACGGGTAGATAGATGTCTGACGAAATCTCATTTGACGTTTGTCAAACTTCTTCATCTCTGGCACCCACTAGTAAGATAACCGGTTATCTACTAAAGAACGAGTATGCTGCGCTGCAGTCCGTTCTGCCGTGTTATTGTTATCCCGCTGTGAGAGCCGTTAAAAGCAGAGGATATGAAGAGACTACAGGTGTCTTCGCAGCATTGCTCGCGTGTGATGGAATCACCATGTTAGTAGTATAAAGGTAAGGTGAAGAGTACTAGGCAAGGAAAGGAAGGTGGTCGATGAGGTTGTTCACGTCCAAAAATTGGGATAGCTTGGACATATGTCGCGCATGCCGACCAATCATCTAACTTGACGTGCGATGCTAAGAGAAGTTTTATTGAGGTGAAAGAAGGCTCAGAGTGGCAAGACCAACACGTGGCGTCAATAATCTATGAAGTCTCTAACTCTTAATCTTAGCCGCGTGGAGAGGTGTAGATTGGCTGACTGGGGTTGTCGACATGACAAGAATCAATGGTCGCAGAACCTCGGTTACATGGTTGAATATCAGTCATAATGGCACAGATGTATTCACTCTTTGACGTCTTCCAGAGCGAGAATAATTTCAGATTGTTTCTTCTCTAGTACACCTTTGTCTATATCGATAAGTTTCTTTCTATTCATTTGTTCTTCTCATGATGTTGAGAAGCACATCAACTGACTAACAAAATCTACGTAGAACTTCACACACAGGTGCATCAACTCAAGTTGCTACACTTCAAAGTATACGAAGAACAGGTGGATAGAAAATGGCTGGTGACAAAGTAGACAAAGCTATGTGAGACAATAAACAGTCAAAAGATAACGGTTAGTGCAAATATTCAAGCTTTAGATGTCAATGAGTGAATACATCTGCGAGAGTGCAACCGATTTTCAGCCATACCACCAAGAATCCTCAACCATTGATTTATATCGCCTTGGGGACCCCCGCCAGGGACTTTATCGACTGATGTTAAGTTCTAGTCTGGTCATCCTGATCCCTCATCTAACCTAATTTAGCTTCCGCCAGCATGTCACGTCGAGGTAGGTGGGAGATCGGCATGTGCAGTACATGTCCAAGTCATCTCAGTCGACTAAGGTTCACAACCTCATCAAACGACTTGCCTTTCTTGCCCAGTATCCTTCTCCTGACTTCAACACCGCTTAATACGGCGGTGATTTCATCAAACGCGAGCAGTGCTACGAAGATATCTGTGATCAAAACCATGTAACCGCTTCATGTCTTCTACTTTTAACAGTTATGCCTCACAGACATATAAGAGGACAGGACGGACTGTAGATCAGCATACTCATCCTTTGATAGATAGTCGGATATCTCACCAGTGAGCGCTACATATGACGCAGGTTGACAAATGACAAACGGGTCTTTTGTATCCGAGCAGAGAACTTGTCAGCAACCGACCCATTCAGGCTGATGCAACTCCGCATGGGAGTGAAGTGATCGACACATTCCACTACTTCCCTCCCTATCCTGAAAATGGAAGTAGTTGCAGACCAGTCCTGGAACATAATCTTACATCTGACAAGTGCGAAATCCATATCAAACACACTCCGATTTCTGTTCAAAGCCTTCGGAAGACCCTGAATTTTGTGAGCGTCTTCAACCAAGTGGAACAACATCGTCTGCAACCTCCAAGTCAGCCAGATGCCTGCCCACCAGGGAATAGGTCAAATCTGTGAAGTCAGACGTACCTAGAGTTATGTCAACCAGTACGTTTACAACGACGCTAAATAGAAACGGTGACAGTGCGCATCCATAGTGGACATTACTAGTGGACATCGATTCATATGACAACTCTCCATAAGACCTTAAGCGGCTGCATGAGTACGAATCGAGAGCATAGATAAACATTATATACTAGCTCGGTACTCCCTTAAGTCAGACACTGCCACAACACCTCACGGTCGACAGAGTCGAATGCCACCTTTAGGTCGACAAATATAGCAAGTGTTGGCCACCAGTAGGCACACTTGTGTCCCAGAGCCTGTCGGAGGGTAAAAATATGATCCATGCGCCCACATCTACGTTTGAAACTTGCCCGCTTCTCTCGAGTTTTATGTTCTTGAGCTTCAGTTAGGTGTCGGATAACCACACAATATTAGTCAAACTAATTCCTCTATGGTTTTTACAGGAAGACTTCTCTCCCTTCTTATAGATTGGGATCAATAAACTATATCGATCTGGAGGCACTACCTCTGATTCCCATACACCACCTAGTACCTTCATCACTTTAATCAGCAACTTCCTACATCCATCCTTGAAAACCTCAATTGGCAAACTGTCAGGTCCTGCTACTTTACATCGTTTCAGGCTCGATACGGCTTTCTTAACTTCGAAGTCAGTTGGAGGAATGACATCTACATCCCATTAAGGTTCAGGGTGGATGTGGGGCAACTCAGGCATTGCTGAGGGCCAGTTGAACTGTGCTTCAAAGTGTTCTGCCTAACGTTCTAGCCACCTGTCCTGGGGGAGTTATCAGCATTCCATCATTGTCGGTGATGGTCTCACTAACCAGCATCTTCTTATTGCCGATATCCTTAGCAGATAAGCCTAAATAGCTGCCGAGTATTACCTAACGCTGATGCCTTCTCCATATATCTCGCTCTCGCTGCCCATCACTGCTCGCAGTTATTGCGCAGACTTCGTTATTTTACGTTTAAATTGCTTTCGCTCTTTATCATGGTCAGAGTCAGTTTGAATCAGTCTTCTTGCATCAATCATTTCGGCTGGCGTTGCGGAAATCCAACGACGATTGCTAACCTTTGGATGCATGTTACCGAATTTCTTCACCGGTGTTTCTATAGCAGACTTAATATCACACCAGGTATCCTCAGAGTGGGCATTGCTGCTATGTTCAGATAAATCCTCAGCCAACTCCTCCTTAAATACATATTTAGCGTCCTTGTCCTCCAATCAGCCATAGACAGACTTTGGCATCCCCGGTTTCCTGAAACCAGCAAGACGCAGATATACACGAGTCTGTACTATCGTGTGATCGAAGTTCAAACAGATACTCCAGAAAAAACGATAATCCTCATCTGTTCTTCCCAACGAGTTAATCCTCGTTTAGTTCATAAGCAGCTGATGAGAATCCGAAACAAAATAAACACATTATTCTGTTAAAATTGTTGTTCTTGAATGGCTAAGGCGCGAAAAGATTCATATGGTGTATAAAGAATGAATGCATATTACAACATGACGTATAGAATGAAACACTTGGATCCTATGCTCACCGATAACCTTCTAAACGATAGCAATTCTTCTAATACGGGTTGCCGGACAACTGACTTACAAAGGAAGTTTTGACTTCACAAAGCAATTATTCATAGATTAGTTTTCTAATATCATTTCGTCAGGTTCCTCTAATTTAAATGAAGGCTCTTTCCTCAGATTTATCAGTTTTGCAATAGATGGTATGCGGGACATTACTTAGGAAATATACAGTACATACTACACAATGGAGAATTAAAGTAGTTTCAACACACTGTACGTTATCTGATAGAGTTGAGCGCTCATCGCAATTAATTTACTGTTACTAGAAGCGACCGACCAGTATCACTCTAAATAATTTTGTAAACAGACAAAAGACTTTCGATTGTTCTTTTTTTCATTACAATTTAGAGTCAAGTATGTTTGATGTGCCTTTTTAAATTGTATTTCTGTTTTGATACTAACTCTAGACCATTCTAAATGAGCAAGCTTCAATGACGAATACTTAGCTTTCACTAACAAACTAGTTGGGTGCTTACTTTTCCGGAAAAAAACCTACATCCGACATAAATCGCAATGCTGAACGTTATCAACTGCTAGGGCTACTGACCTAATGTTTCTCTCGCTTTGTTACCGCTTCTTTGGTTTGCCTAATGGTCATCGATTTAAATGTTCATTGTAAAACACACTGATGAATGCTGTGTCACTTTGAAAACGTAATTGATAAACTTTAGTTAGACTATCATCCAATGACTGACTCATGCATAGATAGGTCCATCTTGAAGGGAAATAAGTAGTAACAAGGTAACAGTGAATAATCAGACAATTAATACAAGCTGTAGACTCACCGAAGTATTTCACGACGTATACGGAGTGGTTGCTCAATTAACGAGACTCCATTTACAAAAAGTATGTCAAACACATAAACGCATATTTGCACTTTGACTGTAGATTCGTCCACATCCTGTCAAAGTGAAAAAAATAGTGGTAAAATCACGCTGTGGATATATTCAGAGGTGACAGTATCCGTCCTCTAAAAACATCTTCAGTGAAGTGGAAAATCTCTGCAGCTTTTTGGGTCCATTCATGTAAGAGTAAAACTTGGGCACTATTAGAGTACAATTCTTTTGCCTGTTCGACTTCTTTAATTTCCCAAGATTTTGAAGACGGATCACCTTTGCTTTCACAAAGACTACCAACTGAAAGACACAATCTACTGATATTTCAGCCTCGTGAGATTAAACCCCGTGGAAATGTCTTTACGTTAGGGATGCCTGTATCCCTTATATTCCTACTTACCAAATGTATATTTGGAAGTGTTTTTCTTTGGGCTTTTTCCCTACGCCCGGGTCATGTTTCATATAATTCGATAGCGTTCTGATTGCCTCCTGCCTCTCTAAATGTAATAATTATTCCTTGTCTTTTAAGATGACTGCAATTCTATAAATAGGGTCCGTTTTTACTGATAAACGTTTTCAGTTCCAGGCACTATAAACTCAGTTGATTAACAGTCTTTTGACTTATCTCTGAGAATCACTCGGATTGGATCATCTCAACCCTCGACTCTCAATCATTCATTATTATCGTTCGTTCCCACAATCCCACAGCGTAACATTTAAACTATCTGAAACTTACTGTATACACAAGGTGACATTAAAAATGGTTCACACAGATATGAAATCTGTCTTTCCTAAACAAAATCACAATGAAGTCACCATGTTGAATTTAATCCTACATATTCTAAATATGAAACAGTAATTATGAATTTGTGTGCAAACGGGTGGTCATCGAACAATAGGCATAGGGAATATTCTAGAAAATTAATATGAACAATAGCTTGCAGGCTTCCCTAGAAGAATGTTGCCACAAATGCAATCGCTCGAATTTTCTTTTTTTAGCACATCTACCAACAGAGTATCAAGCAATCAATACGTTTTACAGGTAACTACTTCGCTTCCATCCAAAAAAAACAAACTGCAATCACTGACATAAACGCTCAAGTTAAACTGACTAGTTACATAGGGAAGCATGTATGAAATATATATTTACTCCTTGATACTTTCTAAAGCTTGGACGTTTTTGCTAACCTTTCTTTACACATTCCTTTTCTGCGCATACTATTTTGTCTACTTTGATATCAGTCTTTTTCTATCCACCTGTTCTTTGTATACTACTGTGAAATATGGCAACTTGAACCAATGCACTTCTGTGAGAGGTTCTACCTTTATTTTACTTGTCTGTTTATCAACTTGGTTTGGTAACGTTAAAAATACTAATACGTGAATGATACAGTGTATCACTCATCGTCTACTATCGAAATTCAACAATGAACGGGAATCAACTACATTCGCACTAATAAAAATTAAACATCTAACACAGAATTTTCTGTTATTTTTGAATGCTTCTTTAATAATCATTGTGTTTGATTATGCATAACCATGGTTAAAAAAGCTAACACAAATACAATAGCAACTCATTAGTGAAGTCAACGAGACGACAATGGTCATAATGGTTCTTTGAATAAATATTTCGATGAGCCTTTTTAAATAATACAGAATGTAATCTGCCGGGACGCAAATTTTCTTGACATCCTGAGAAATAAATACATGCACCAGCAGGCAGTACAGCCTAATTAGATGTCATCACCACGCACTGAGCGAGAATGCTCTGCGATGAAAGCTTAGGAAGAAACCAGTCAAAAGTCGTCGAAAATTTGAAATCTACTCAGCACAAAAGGCAATAAGCCACACCTATTGTATTAAGGCTAATGATTCTACCTCGCTGCTGAAATCTCGGTAGGTGGAGCGGTGCTCACACCCTTGACCCATCGATTGAAAATCATCCCCGTAAACCAATGAGCCATAACTCCACAAAACCGGTAAAAAGTTGTCAGAAGAGAGCAGGGAGGGACCACAGAATAGTGAAATGCAGCATGACGATTACGATGAAGACATTGTGTGGACACATCTGCACTGATACTGATCCTGTGCCATATCACCCAGAATCTGCAACAGCTAGTTTCTGCTGCCACGTGGACCCAAACCAAGAAGTCTGTATTCCTGTACATGGTTCGGATCAACAGTCAAAGACTTTATGCAACGATTTTTCAGTCTGATTGCCTTCAATCCTTTTCCAGCCCCACCCTACTTAAGTTTATATTGTGCGACGAAGCAGACAGTGACTAAGTATACGTAACACATGTCCCAGACACCTAAGTCGATTTAGGTCCACTCACTTGATAAAACTGTACACTAAATTTCTAAGTTACTGATATGGCGACACTATAATACGTAGCCTATGCTGTGAAGGCAATGGTGGTGGAACACCCGAAGCTTTCTCATGTCCTCTACCTTTGGTGGTTATGTCTTATAGCCATAAAGTAGAACAGAGCGAACTGCAGTGCAATAGACCCAACTCTTAATCGACAACTGGCTATCACGGTGGTGTCAAAAAAGGTGTGAGTTGGTGTAAGACAAGCGAGCCTCTTATGTAATTGACGCACCAAAGCTGATCTTACCTCCCAGGTAACGGCAGTGGTCGAGGCGGTCAACAGCTCAACTCCTTATTGTTAAACAAGATACCACTGAAGACCAGCCCTGGAACAAACACATTTGGGTGGCAAGAAACGTATAACAAACGTTATCCAATTGCCACGCAAAGTGTTCATAAGACTGCATCTTATCAGCGTCTTCACCTAAGAGGACTATGTCCCTTGAGTCCTCTAGATCTGCCAAGAACTGTGAAGTCACACGACCAGAGAAAGACCCCTATAGGCACCTTTCTAAAAGAACTGTATAACAATGAAGTCTGCGGACATCCTTGACAGACACCACTCGTTGCACACAATCCACTTGACAACTCACCATAGCCTCTAACAAACCTATGGGTATTCGAACACAACGGCGTCAGCAGAGTGATATGCTTTGTAGGCATCTCTTTCAGTGAGACATATTTCTACAAAATCTCTTGGTTGAAGAAGTTGAACACTGCCTCCAGGTCGACAAATACAGCTACTGCTGGGCTCCATGTGTCTGCGTTCCCGAACTGGATGAACGGTGAGAATCTGGTGGATATTCCTATGACGAGTACTAAACTTGCCTGATTTGCTATTACCGGGGTCCCTATGATTGTTGCAAGTGTCTTTCTCCTTTTTTGACACTGGCACAGTTTGATTGAGAACAGCCACAAGGGTCATATCTGATACCAACTGTTGGCTAATACCCAAGTTTATTGCATCCGATAATCCTTGATACCGTCCTTAAATGTATGCAGAACTAAACCATCTGACGCTACCTCCCTTTCTCGTTGTAGCTTACTAACCGACTTCAGGACTTCTGCAAGTGCTCGAGACCCTGCTGCAATGTTCCACTCAGGACCCAACTGGACAGTGAGTAATGGCATATTGCCTCGAGGCCAGTTGAGCTGTTCATCGAGGTTTCACAGCCATCTTTTTAGTCTTTCCCCTTGATAGTAGACCCATCTTTCTCCGCTACAGTCTCAGTAACCAGTGACCTCTTGCACCAGTTTCCTGGATAAGTCTGGACAACTGCCTGTTGTTACTTATCGTCGATCTCTTTTCCTTCTCTTTAGCCTCCAAGACCAGTCACCGTTCACGGTCATTGTGTGAACTCCTTGTCAATCTACATCTGAGTTGCTCCCACTTTTTGTTGTGCTCGGAGCCTGTAAGAATGCGTCCACACACGTCCACTAACTCAAAAGAAACTGCTATCTCATAGCAGTATAGATAACCCATATGTTGTTAGTTACATTCAGTCTTCGGTTCTCCTACGTTCTATCGATTGCTTCCACGTAGGCAAATAATAAGGCACGCTGTTCAGTTAACCATCAAATTGCATTTGTCCATCGACCGGTGCATAGTTGTATGAGCATCATTCATAGATGCACACAATAGCAGGGAAGCCACTTCTCATCAACTTTTACGCCAAATGTCACTTTCAGTCATTACTTCATGGTGTTTTTTCCTCTTCAACTCCAAATATCCTCCACCATCTTGTGTTTACATGAGCAAACACAAACTTCTTCAGCACCTCTTTTCTACTTTAGTTTATTGGTAAACGTATTTCCACTGCACCTTGGCACAAGATTTGTATATTTATTAGCTAGTGTAACACTGTTAGTATCTCATATCCTTAGAAATTCTATGGGAGGTACAGTGTTGGAAAGTATCATCGTAATTTAGGAAACCACTATTTACTACCTCATACAAAATACAAATGAATATCCTACACATTTTAAACGCTTTATCCTATTTCAGGACGCAAAGCCATACCTCCGACCGTTTCCCTCCAACAAACCAAGTCAATTCGAATCACAAATATGAGATTCTAAATCCTCTACATAATATGCATACAAATAAAGTGAAACAACAGGACCGAAATCTTCTGATGAGTGTTTTCTCCAGTGACACCAACCAAAGTCTTTATTTAGCCTCCTTGGTGAACAAGTATTTGGGGCCCGAACTGCTCGATAGTACAAGAGAAGGTTCTATGGAAATCGACTACAGTATGGCCACACTGGATTACATGAAACGGCATGGTATAATTGAAGATTTTAAATCGGACGAAAGTAAATCAGATAGTCCACCAGTAAACAGCAGGTACATATACGTACATAGTGGAGCTGTGAACCACTGGTTTAGGGGGTCTACTCTCAACCAGTGGTTCGATTCCCGACCCATCTGCCGAGGTCTAGACAGCCAAGTAGGACCATTAGCCTTCACATAATATGTGTGGCTCATTGCCTGCTGCATAAATGTGCTTATGGTCGCTGAGTTCACTTTGACACTATGTAATCACCGCAAACTATTGTGATGTGACGGATAATATCACCTCTCTGTTTAATTTTTATTGATGAGAAAGGATTCAAAACTGTAATTTGATTGCGGATATTTGAATTTCAGGGCTGTGAACCATAATACCACTACATTTTTCGCCCGTCAACAAGATTTTTCTACGATAAAGCTGTAACATAATACCATAAGCAAAATGGGAAAAGATGACTAGTCATTATACTTACTTTACGCTTCCTTGTTGACAGGACTTGGAAGGGTAGAATATGACCAGCCTGACGATCCCAAGCCACAACTTCCGAGTCAATAATACAACTCTCAAGCTGATTCCCTTCTACATTTGACTGAGCTTGTCTTTTCCTAGTTTTAATAATTTCATTCAGTACTTCGATCACATGAGGTGTTAATTTCGATTCTGGAAGAACTCTGGACATGAGATTATTTACAATATCTGGATATTTAGTTGTATTATCTTCTTGATTACGTGAATACACATGACTTAGACCTGATGACAGAATATGAATCTAAAGTGAAAATAAACGAAGGTTAGCGGCTTTTTTCATTCCAAGTTTTTTATTCAAATATTATTGAAATTGCACTTTTCCACTTTATGTAAAGCATATACTGCACAAAAGTTCCCTTAAAATTAACCCTAATGAACTACAATCAATAACCATAATTTTCGGCATTCAAAATGTACACAATGTTGACCTGCAGTTTATAAATCTACTACAATGCTGAATCTCTGCTATGAAGTTCAGCCCGAAGGTGGAGGAAGTTGACAACAAACTATCTGCGAAAAAGTTCACTACTTAATTTCTGCATTGCAATGATCATCAATTACGACCGTACACTTGAAAAGCGTGGTTGATATGAGTAAATATGAATGATCATCAATGATCTTGGAAAGGAAAACCTTTTTTTCACTTTAACATACCTGTGCTCTTTCGCCATCGTATTTGTATTCACATGTGAAATCGCATTCTTCAAACCTCTTTAGGATCTCATAGATTCCATGTGTAGGAGAAGCTAACATTGGCTTCAGAGGAATGCCAGGGGTGATTGTGCAAATCTGATCCAGGACTTCATGACCTTCTGAGAGAAGGGCTTTAATAAGACGACCATAGTCCGGACAAACGCTAAATGAAACGCAAAACAGAACAGAAAAACATGATTAGTACTTCACTTAAAACACTTAAAATAGACTGTACTTGGTTGTGAGGAACTGACTTGTCAAATGGAAAGTAGAAATGCAATCAGCAGCCTAGAACACGTTTGTGCAGTAGGCGGTGAGGTACACTTATTGTCTGAGAGATAATGAAGCTACCTGGCTGTTCAGGTCTAAATAGATGGAGCGCGGTTCAAACCCGTGACTCATCACTTGGAAGTTGAGTGCCTAGATCGATGAGCTACAACCAACTTGTACTTTTATGGACTCAATTAGGATTATGAGACTTTTTAGGGGAAGAACTATCTTTAAGTTCAATATACTATTTACTGTACTTATAGTTTGTATACTGATATTTGTTACTGCAAATCGGATCACCAGGAAACTTGTAGTGTAATTTCGATTTCCTGAATTCACATGATGATAAAAGCTTTTTGAGGACTTGATTTGAAAGCACAAATAGACGCAGCATCAGAAATTTATTTCTTCTTGTTTTATATAATGCCACTTTCTAGATTTTCCGGAAGTTACTTCCTGTAGGGATTTTGTTCCATACATGATAAAATATGGGTACGGTACCAAATGACGACTGAAGTTCATATGTAAAATCAGGAACTTGAAGTGATCATGGTTAATAAACCAAAGCTAGGATGATCGCAACAATGATTGACCAGCAATGACAACTGAGGAATCCTTCGGGAAACCCTTCCTCAGAATTTGCATCATCTCATAGAAGCTTACGTCTCTGACAGTTTTGGTTAAAAGGATATCAAAATACTATAAGTACTGACTTCATTCAGCTAACTAACCACACAAACTTCTAACAACTCATCATATCTGCTGAATGATGCTTTTAATTTGACACCAATTATCAAGATTGAAGTGGAACTGAGAATTGACTTCAGTAGTATCAAATTTTTTGAAGCATAACTGGTGTACACTGGGGAAAATTTTTGAGTTGATACTTTAATCAACTATTATCGTGAAACCTAGAACTGTTTCTGTTGGTGTGTTAGGAGCAATTGAACTTCTTGAAAAGATAAATAAATATTATTCCAGCAGTCAACAAATAGTGTGATCTGATAATGGTAAACATTTGTCGATCGACAAACACGGAAAGCTCAGAGTTTGTTGAGAATGAATCCTGACTGAAATTTAACAGAAGTTTTATACATCATTCTTTCTAAAACAAAGAACTAAGTTTCACTGATCCACTAAAATTGGTACGAATTTCTTGAATAGGCTTTTCTCACTTTCATCATATAAATTACTACATCTTTGATAAGTGATGAGTTCGTTATCAAAACCATTTTCATGATAACTGCATGAAATGAGCCTAAATCAAACTTTCTCTGAGATATGAATGAGTGACTCTAAAAGCTATCCTAGCAACTGATGAAGTGACGAATCAGGTTTCGATATTTCACCTTGGGACGTACTTTCTTATAAAATAAAGAAACTCAATTGGCAGTCGCTAGGGTGACCTTTAAAACCACTCATATGAGTACGCTGAAAATTACTGAAACTTGAATGGGTATGAATTCATTGTAATGATATGACGTTTACCCCCTAATTGGTATGACTGACATATTGTAATTTACCAGTGACTCCCTCATGGCGCAACTAGATGGAATCAAAATACCGTATATATATCTTCTAAGAATATCCAAACTTAGGAACCAGAAAGGAAGTCACTAATGATGGCGAAACAGTTACTTGCATAAAAAAATGTGGCCAAGACAAAATAATCATAGCTCGGCTTTAAAACAATAGTCAAGGGCAGTATGTAGGTTACGCAGGTAACCAAGAAATTCCTACTAAAAATGCAAAGCTGCAGCTTTACCCCCCCACCCCCACCCCTCTAACAGTAATAAACATTCTACGATGCAAATGAATCCCACAGATCAAACATGGACATAAACCAAAGAAACGTTTACGTTTTTAGACTTCACACGTTTACGAAATATACTACTACTAAACAACCTGAGTAGTTAGATACCACTCAGACTGACCTGCAAATTTCCTCGGTCAGATCAGGGTGATCTAAACATACTGGATGGCCGTTTCGTTTGTTTAGGATCAAGCTTATCAGCAGTGTACCCGGACAAAATCAGCTCATAGAGCCGAATTAATTCAGATCACCTGAATCTGGCTAGCTGAATCGTATGCACCGGTATACCTAAAATAAGATGGTCAGGTTGCAAATGATTTACAAATTGCACGATCCACGTTGATATTTCTTACAGCTGAGTAGCTTTCTGACTGCCTAACTGTGGTGTCAAGTAGGATTCTGTTGGGAACTCCCCAGTCAAGATCACGTGTGATCTGTGATACAAAAGTGTCATGAACTAGTGAAATATGCAACTACTAAACAACCAGCCAGATCAGAGTGATCTAAACACACCAGAGAGCCACCTCGCTCATTTGGAGCCAAGCTCATCAGAGGCGTACACCTTGTTGACAGTACAGTAGGGCAGCTGAAAAACTAATCGGCTGCAAGGAATGTCAACGTGGACCGCGCAATTTGTAAACCTTTTTTAAACTGATCATTCTATACTACACTATGACTTCTATGGATAAATAATCGTTAAGATGGTATGGTTTATGGGCCTTTATTGATGAACCCTGAATAGATTTCAGAGTCACGGTGTAACTTTGGTTGCCAACTAGAATTCACTGAACCAGCCCAGATGGATATACATATTGTCTCAATCTTCATCATCGTCCCAAACTTTATTATTGTTTTATCCTTTTGTTACAAAGACTTTCTATTACTTTTGGTCACTCTTTTTTTCTATTTCTTGAACTTTTATTCTGGTGCTTGAAGTGTAGCAGCCTAAACTGTTAAGTAATAATGCCAGATCCCATGTTGCTGCTGACTTATATAACGAGGGTGTGTTGTAAATGCGAAAACTTGATGATACCTAACGTCTGAGTAAAAACAAATAAGAACTAGGGAAAATTAGCCAGTATAAATCGACTACTTGATTCAATGTTTATAATTGATCATCTCAACTAAATCTCATGACTGCTGAAATGTATTAGCTCTAAAGGAAATCCTTTTTTTATATAAATGACACGGAATGAAGAATAATGAGTTTGAGAATAAGTAAAATCAGACTTATTTCACTATACTATTTCTGGAACACGCTACAATAAACCATACTGAAATAGGAAGGGCATCCAACTAATAACTTACCAATATGCCTTTTTAACATTAGCGACTGCTGTATCCACGATAACTTTCCAACGGTCACTAGATATGCCATTAGAGGCGTTAAGCGTGTGAGAAGTATCAATTGCATCATCTACAGAGGTGGAATGAAATGATGTCATAGCTGCAGCTTGACCGAGAGCTGTAAGCACAGTTTGCTCAGCTAGGCCAATACGCAATTTTCCTGATAAACTACGCATAAGATACTTGGTCTCCGATTCCCGACAAGCAACCAAAAGAGAACGTATTAATTCTACCTTTTTGTTCTGAGACTAATAAAAATAGATAATAACAAATGAATTGAATCAGTAAAGCCAACAAGATTATGTAAGTGAACTAACTAAATTATAGACAACAACAAACACTGGATGAAAGTAAATCTCTGAATGAAAAGAAATGTAATTTGTCAATCGAACGGAATTAAAATTCTTCATAAACTAACTTATTTAGTGCTAGCTATTACACAGTACATAGATTGTTTAATTCTGTGGGAATTAGTGCTTTCATTACAGGACAATCTTCACATGAAACGCTTCGCTCATTCCCATATGGAAAGACAGTATCAATTGTGAGCTAAACCTAATCTTGAGCTGGTACAAACAGCAGCATATCGGAATGCTTTATGACCATTTTCGGTGAAACCACAATCGCAAATAAAGTTCTCTTCGAGATAAACAGAAACTGATTAGAGTTCGGCAATTTCTTGGTATTCGAATCATCCTTAAACAACTAACCTATATGCACTTTTGATGAAAAATAAATTGACGGTGTACTTTTTTTTTGAAGAAAATACATAACAACTTACTGAATTTCCAGACAGTGAGGCGATATCCTTTAATTTGGAAAATACTACAGAAATAGTCAATGGCTTTGGCGCTGATAGTATTTTCTGACGCGATCTGATTGTCTGAAAAAGATGTACACTTTTGAAATTTTATGTGCATTGGAGATTACAGAAGTTAGAGGCATAAAAGAATGCTACATACAGGTTTACATAATAAACTAAGAACCAAATTTATTAATTAATCAGACCCTGAAGCATAAAACGTAACTCTAAAACCATGCTATCAACTTCGTAATAGATCTTTCAACGCCCCCAACGCTAAAGCAATTAAAACAACAGACATCTTTTGCCAAAATTCTAGAATTTTGAGTCATTGATGTACGGTGTGTTTCTGAGACACGTAGACGGGGTCCAAGTGTATTTATCGACTTGACCCTACCTGTCCAACTCAATGAATATGCGAAATTCACATTACGAGTATCGGGATACTCGGTGGCTAGTTTTCATGGAACAGCTATTGTAGGTGTAGTACTAAGTTCTCGAGTAGAAAGCGCACTTCTTGACTGAATCCTAGAAAACAACCATCTGTATCCCGTTTGACTGAATACATACATAAGAACTGAGAATGTCATGAGATCTATGGACGCCCATTCGTGATCTCTATCTACGCGTCCACTAACTGCAGTGCGGATGAAACAAAGGGCGAATTCTATTAGAAGCTGTCGATTTTGCTACAGAAAGCAAAATGGTCAGATATAGTTATAATAGCGGGCAACTCCAACTCTCAACCAGCAAAACTGAGCCAATTCAGAAAGGTATCTTGGAGTGATGTACGGAATTTTATGCCACCGAAATGGTGATTGTCTATTGCAATTTTGCTATGATAAACACTTGGTTCTGGCCAGCATTAACTTCATGCATAAGGAGAGATACTGTCGTACTTGACGTCTACCGGTATCGAACCAACGATGGACTCGGACAGACCATATTTCTATAAACCGTCATTAGAGAGGATCGGTGGTGGATCGCCGTTCTTTCTAGTGTGTTTGGATTACAACCACGTCTTAGTACAGATACGTGTTCACACCTTATTGGTCGTAGGAAAAGGACAGAAGTGAAGTCTGTTTGCTCAACTGAAAGATGAGAATGGCAAGTAGGTATTTACGTGAGAGACAACTAAGCATGTATCTGAACATAGCAGTAATTCTCCTCCTGGTGTGATATATAGTCTACTGGAGAAAAAGCGGTTATGACAATCAATTTTCAAACATCAGTGGGTTTCTGCAACGTCATCCAAACTGAATGATACGACGAAACTTATTCCAGCTTACTCTGAGCACAATGAGGAGTGAAAGCGGCTCAAATGGGTTGGTTGCTGATAAAATCTCAGGTAGGACTCAAGAGGGTGTTCTCGAATACATGTGGCGCCGGGGATATTCAACTACATATTACAGGACAAGTAAACTGCCCTGCAGTCCTCTCTATCTCACTTGTGAAAGTAGAAAATACGAGATTACACGTTTTTGACTACAAATTTAAGTGCAACACTCAGCATTTTTAGTAGGCGTAGGGTACTAGGCAAGAAAAGTACGTCACTCGATGGGGTTTTGACATTTCATCTCAAGTGGCTTGGGCATGCACTTCCCAGCGAACTACCTACCTTGATGTATAATACTGCTTAAAATATGATTGTGTTGGAAGAAGGTTCAGGGTGACCACACTAAGATATGGCTCTAGTTGCTGAAGCCACTGATTGCTGGCCTGATCCCCGTAGAGATGCATACTGTCTCGTTGAGATCCTTGAAATGCTAAGAACCAGTGGTTGGAGACCAGTAGTGACATGACTTCGAATCGGCAACAATAGTGAAAAAGCTTACACTATGACGTCTCCGAGAATTTCAAATTTTCCATTAACCTTTGAGTTTCAACTCTTTTTCCTCCCACATACTTTGTCTATCTGGATATCACTTTTTTAGCTACAATGTTCTTTTCACGCTGCTGTGAAATGTGAGAACGTGGACCGATGCACTTCTGTGCGAGGTTCTACTTTGATTTCGGTGTACTGGTCAAGAGTTGAGGGAATGAAGAAATGAGCCATGTCCACCAAATATAGGTGTTGACAAGTAAAAACAATCCTAAAAACAAATACAGTAAATGATTATATCTTGCTAAACTCATAGCTAATATGTGTAACAGTTAGCGATAACTGATAGACCAAAACCTACAAAGTTGAGTAGACCTTACAATATGTAAAACGATGGTTGAGGAAGAAGCTTTCATATCGCTGAGCCAAACTGTATGGGAAGTTCGCACGCGAAATCACAACAAAAGGCAGGTTCTGATAATTTGCTAAGATATTTACATAACAAACTCACTTCAGCAACAACACCGAGGTCACCATGCCGTTTCAAACTTGAACGCATATGTTCAATTCCAACACCTGTAAGGTTTCACAAAGTATACAAGCACATTAATAATATGGATTAGTAATATCTATAGGCAAAAGGTTTTGAAAGGACTAATGAGAGCACACAACTTCGAAAATTACAACAACGATTAATTGCCTCAACATAAAATTTTCAAGCATTGTACATTTTGTTACCGAAATTCTTATACTGGCAGTCAGTAAAATCATGAATTCGTTAAGTATTAGTCTTTTTTTCTTCATCTTAATTCCAGAATAAACATAAAGTAAGTAGAATCCTAAATAGTTCAACATGTATTCAACAGACCATGAACCTAGATATTATTTGGATACTACATTGTGGGACACATTAGGAAGGAATTCGCACATGGTATAATGCACACAATTCAACACACATGATGGTTGACGTTATACTGATGAGAGAGGCTATTGGAAAACCATAAGTAGATTGATGACAACAATAAATATCCACTCAAGTAAAGTACTAGTTGGTTAAATAATCTTAAATAGGAATTTGTGCTTAAAATGTATACCGGGTGATGATTGAGGGTGAGATGAAAGTCTGGACCGCGGTCAGATGCGAACCAGTGACCAACGGGTTACCGGTTCGGTGCTCTACCAACTGAGCTACGAGGTTCGACTGCTGACCAGAATTTTATTTCACTTCAATCACCAAGGGTTTTGCCCGATTACCATGTGAATTCGTGATGCGTTACTACTGCTTGATCGTATTCACACTTAAAATTTAATTAACTTCTTTAGAAGTATAGTTAATTCTGTTATGAAAGAGCACTTTATACTTTTCTTATTTACTCTAAATACATAGGAATTCCTTATTAACATGAGCTGTTGATGCCTCCTGAGATTAATAATAATAATAATAATAATAATAATAATAATAATAATAATAATAATAATAATAATGTTAATTATTATTAGAACATGTCCATCTGTTAGACAGAGTTAAGCCTGAAAATTTTACCAAAAACTAACCTGTAGTTGCAGCAAGAGCCTTTAAAAGAATTGTTTCGCCGACACCTAATTCTGCTCCCTCGTATGCTGGTCCCAGCCGATTAAGACAAAGATATACACAACTTGTCAAATCAAATGGAGACAGTAAGCCAACTGAACGGAAAAAATTGGTTAATGTTTCCGTTATTTTAATTCTACAAAAACCATAGTAAATTAAAATTTCATTACCTTCCAGAAGTAGCTTCAATACACTCAAAAGTTCTCGACAATGACAAGTAAGGCACGCTAAATATGAAATCTTTATTGAAAATAAGTTACTAACCTTTCACCCTTTCGCCAGTTGCAGTCATGAACAGGATGATAATCTGTTTTGCTTGGATCATAACTGAAGAGATAATAGTAACAGTAATAGTCCATACCACGTAACCAGTTTCTGAGGGCTTTCCGGTAATTTTTTAGGAAGATTTAATACATTATGGGTGTTGTTTGACTTATTCTTGTTCATAACGGATGGTTCGGTCACTGTATCCATTGAATAACTTGAGCCACTCTTTTTTGAATCGCTGGGTTTGTCCTGCTTTGTTGAACTAGTTATACTTTTTGAAACTCCATCTGTGGTTTCCTCCTGAATTTCATGGCTCTATAAGCAATATTTAGAGAGACTTACAGCATACAGTTCCACAGGTACTAAATCAGTAGTTTGAGAAGGAATTTCTCCATTACTATCTTCACAATGAATACCATTCTAAAATTTGACTCACTGTTAAACTTCAATCGACATACTTGAACATCGCCGTTACCTAAAATAGCTTAGAGGTAAAACCTAGGTTACTTTGATTAGGTATTTCCGTCAGTGAATCATCGCTTTCCACTATAATGCGTCTTCGCTTTGTCTTTTCTTGTGACTTAGGTTCAATTTTTTTAAAGTCAACTATATTTGGTCTGAAAGCAAAATACAAACCGAAATTGTAACCCTACTCATTTGTTTTTACAGTCCCTTTATTATTATTCCCAGAGAAGAATGACCTACAAAAAGAGAATTGTGTAATTGTTATAGAAATCCACCAAAAAAAACCCCGTAAAATTAGGTATTTTTCCAGATTATAGAAACTATTTGAATCGAAAATCGAAACCCACTCAGCTACCTTGTGCAGATTCTTGCGGTAGGCAATGAGTCACACCTAGTATGAGGGTTAATGATACCATTTGATTGCCCAAATCTCGGTTTGAACCTGCGACCCGCTGGGTGAAATCGACTCCCTAAACGAATGAGTCATAACTCCATTACTGACACTGTGGTACTAGCCTAGCATGAACCTTTAGCATCATGAGGTTGTTTAGAAGACGAATCTATGTATCCATATGCTGTCTTAAGGAGCTGAAAAACTTTCTACATATCAATATGATGTTGACAGCTAGAGCTAATGGGTAGGACTACGAAAATAGGTCCTGGGTTCTAACTCCGTCTCCTTAGAGAAATTTTGGTAGCCTAGTATTGTCGTAAATCCTCACAAACAGTCGTAGCTGATTACCTAGTGTAAGAAGATGCACGGGGTTGTTGAGAGTCCTTCTAATACTGAAAGAAGCAAAAGACCGGTATGCAGGAAGGAGTGTTTGTTGTCAACACGTGGGACAGTAGTCGTTAAAAATGGTACACCTTGCACTAAAACCATCATTTGCAAAATATGTCTCATTTCTTCTTCCGCTTCTTTCTTGATTTGCTCTTCGTAAGCCTGCTTTGTCTTTTGCGTTTCTCTTGGCGGAATCCTTACCCATTGCTGGTAATTCCCTATGATTTCTGCCACCCTCTCAACATATACTACATATATCCATTATTATTAGCAACGCCCACTACAATACTACCCCGAAGCCTGCCCAACTGTTGGTTCGGGCATACATGTAGTTATTTTTGACGGCGCAAGAAACAGACGACTGGGAACTCTGTACACTTGGTGTGAAGAGAGAACGCCAGTTTTATATTGAAAGAACTGAACTGAGATCTATCGTATATCTAAGCATGGCAATAATTTTGATCCTGATGTTGGGTGGCATTGTATCCAGTTGACTATAAGAAAGCGCTTACGCTACTTGATAGCCCTAAGTATGTCAGAAAGTCAGTGGATCTCAATAGCTTCATCTGAAGTAAGTGGAGCCCAAAACTTCATTACAAGTAGTTGCAAGCGAGAACAGAAACCAAGGCAGCTTTAAAAAATTGACTAGGAATCGTTGTAATGAAAAAGGTATAACAAGAAGCACTGGCATCACAAAATAACCAGTAACTATTAGGAACTCAAGATGTTAGTTCGAAAGCGGAGTTTGGTACAACTATCTTCAAGAAAAATGGGGCCTTGATCAGCTTTCACAGATGCACCTAAGATGTCGGATGGGAAACCTTCAAGAACATTTCAACTAATCAACAAAATTACATCGGCTGCCCGCTAATCCGTCACAACATTGTTTATCCTACTCTTACTGAAGTTTTCAACTCGCTACAAAATGTGCCAACCCTTGTTCAAGATGATTTGAGTCAACAAATGTTGTTTTTGGCATGAAGGCAAAGAAAATATTCATAGTTTTCAGCTTGCATGAAGGACCATATAATTGTTTCACAGTTCAAACGAACTTCCGTGTGCAGTGAACCTGCAGCATATTATGTCAATATGCTTTGTTGTTCACAACAGGCTGAAGGTCCCCCATTAAGTTTACCCCTGATATGTCCGATTCTGAGAGCTAACAATAGGAATTAAAGTACTGGCGATATTCTTGGATTTCAAATATTACGCTAACCAGCCACTTCAGATGACTATGAAACCTATTTTTTTACATTCATAGTTTTTCTCACCAGGTGATTGGTGCATGAAAATACACACTGCTTTGCTTGCCTATCGAAAAAAATGCTGAACTGAGAAAAAAGGCATGTTTAGCATAAGAAATAAAGCAGAACCCGTAGTTATTGCAGCTAAATACATCCTGTCTGGGAACCAGTGCAGAGAAGATAGAATAGCATACAACTCAATTTTGTAGACTGCAACAAAGCGGATAAACGGATGAAGAATCACGTTAACATAGGAACACATTCCGGTTGTAAAGTGATATTCAAAAGTGACTAGTTTTACCCAGTGCGTAGAATTCAAGATGTGTAAACACCAATCTTCACATTGTTTAGGTTGTCTGACCCAACTGCACTAAAGCCATTATCACGATGGCTACCTTCGCTTAGGTTACTGTCTAGAAGTTATACCGTCACAGCAGTCTAGATGACTGGTCATACCGGTTTGAAAGAGAGATACTTCTTGCTATTAGAACCAAAGACGAATCATTTTGACTAATATTGTGTCTAAGATCCTTGGGTTTGCAGCCGATACAACGTCTAACTGTAGTTCGAGAAAGCCAGACAGCTGTCATTTCTGGGCGGGAGTGAATTGACAGCATTTTTAATTTTTGACAAGACATCTGAAATGACGATATCTAGTGGTGTCTGCCTGATGAAAGACACCTTATTTACTTCGGGTGGGTGAAATACGAAGTCGCGTTAGGCGTAGACGTCGACAAAATGCAGAGTTTTCTGAATGCTCTAAGTAAAAGTCTGACTGATGTTTGGCACCTGTGAAGCATAAGATGATGCTTGAGAACTGGTATGCACGGACTCCTAATATAAGGTTAGAGAATGAAGTAATGGAATGTGTTGACCATTTCACTTATTCGATGAGTCGTATCTGCCGTGATGAGGTGGGTAATGACAGCTAGTTGATGACATTATGAACCTTTAGTCAAGTGAGGTGGCCGGAACATATACACATATTCTATCCAGTCTCCCCAATATGTAATATCAGCTGAAGTGGGATTAAGCTTCGATAAAAGTGGCCATACCAGTCCACGTAGCTTTTTACTGTTGATTATGAGTGCAATGAAGAGCATACTTTACGACCATATAGTAAGGCAGAACGAGATACCGTACAGTACACTAAGTCTTAAGTAGACAATCGGATATTTGATCGTCACCAGGTGTGGCGTTGGTTGACTAAAGCCGACCGAGCCCTACATATATGTCGAGGTTTCATCAGTCATTGGTCGATCACGTATGGTCTTACTCCCCAAGAGAACTGGTCACCTCGTTTGGCCTATTGACCTTCGTCATGCGAGGTTTCAACACACGCCAATCCTGATACAACAATTTGCATTTCGGTGGTAAGAAAAGCATCCTAGTCTCAAATTGTCACTCAAAGTGTTCAGAAGACTCAAGCTAAGAAGACGTCATATGCATGCCCTAAGTCTGCTAAGAAAGCTTGTGACAGTCAGTCTGTGTAAAGTGAAAGCAGAAGAGGAATACCGCCAAATGCAAGCGTGGGGAAGTTAGGCAAGAATAAAGAGTAAAACCCTGACGGACACTACTTGGAAAATCCATCACATGCGTTGACTAACCAGGAACTCTAGATCACTAATGACAGCTTCAGTACAGAGTCTGTAGTAGGTAGATCGATTCGAACTGGAAACAATTTCAGTGAGAAGCACTTCGAAGTCGCTAAATTAGTGTTCTTACCACGGAGGCTGAAAGTGAAAGCTTCTAGCTTGTTTCATGCCTACGTATAAAATCAAGGCTTTTCACCACAATAAATAAACAAACCATATATGCTTATAAATGACAGTTAAAATCCGACTTCTTGTCACTTACAAGATTGACTTTTGAGACATAGGGTTGAGGGTATTTTTTAAACGGAGGTACGAGATTCTATTGATAAGCCCAGTGTGACTAAATATGGTAATGCTTCTGGTTGTCAGTACGTCAGAACAAAAACCCAGAAGTCTTAAGGTTGCCAGTATGAACTAAATACCCGCCAAAGCTCAAGGTCGTAGACACAAGCTAGCAACATGAAAGTGGCAATACTTCCGAGTGTACCTCAAATTTTCACCCCTCCATGGTTGGAAAGATCGGAATCAAAGTCTCATACATTCTTTATCCTTTTTTTCTGAATTCTACCCTGAGTATGAAGCATTAGAACCGCGCCTGTTTAACTACTTCATTAGTTACTAGCTGGTCCTAAGCCTGGATAAAGAGCAAAGCTTGGGCATAGGGCTAGCAACCCTACCCCCTAAAACCAATCCAATCGCTAAAGAAACCTCTAAGCACAAAGAAAATATAAAAACGAAAACAAACTTATTCTTCGCCAGAATCGGAAAGACGAAATGACGCCGGTTGGTGAAAGCCTTCGGGAAGCCAGTCAGCCAATGTGTCTTCTCTTGATGAAGGCGAAAGTAAAAGTGGAGACATGAAATGCCCGCACCATGTATGAACCTAGCAAGGCTGCCCAGATTGCAAAAGAGATGAGGAGGTATGGCATAGAAGTGCTAGGAATCTGCGAAAGTAAATGGAATGGAAGTGGACTCTCCAAACTCTAAACTGGAGAGTCAGTAATCTACTCCGATATTGTCACCCAGACGGCAACTACGAGCACACGGAGGGAGTGACTATCATGATGTCTCCAGGAACGTCGAAGGCTCTCATGCAGTAGGAACCAATCTCCTCCTTCAGCATCAGGATCATAACAGCAAGATTCAACTCAAAAGGAAGGAAAGTCACAATCATTCAATGCTACGCGCCAACAAATAATGCAGATGAAGAGAAGAAGGAGAAATTCTATAGACAACTGCAATAAGTACTAGACAATACTCTAGTTGGCGACATCGAAATTCCAATGGGTGGTGTGACATGAATGCCAGACTCGGAGTGGACAACACAGGAAGATAACTCATCCAATTTCCAATATTGATAGTGCGAGCGTAGAAAACTGGTAGTTTTTGATCTCTCGCGTCTAGTTCTTAGGGCTTGGTTCCAGTTGTTCGGTTTACTCCTGCAGTGGACGAGGAAATACCCTCTGCTTTCTTGCTTTTAGCTTCGGTGAGGTGGATGTTTTGTGGGTTAGTAGGTTGTAATTTGTAGAGTGATTAGGGAGCTACGGGTTGCTGGGAAGTTTAGAGAACTGCCATGACTCCTGTCTGTGTAGGTACCTGAAAGAGAATAGTAAGGTAGTGGTAAAGGAATGAAGAGAGAATAAAGAAGAGAGTGAAGTAGCACCATAGAGACTCTGGGAGCTGGGTTAAGGCCGTATCGCTAACCATCCTTGCCTTTAAACAGGAGTTTACGTAGATAGCCACTCCCCCTCCTGCTCTATGTTCCCTGTCCCTGCGGAAGAGTTCCATGCCAGCAACACGCATCTCTTCGTCGGAGATGTCCGATGAGAGCCAGGATTCGGTGATGAATATGATGTCGGAGTGCTGATGTTCACGCAGCGTCCTCATTTTGCTACCTTCCCTCTTAGCCCCCTAACGTTGCTGTACATACATATTAGAGTGTGCCTGATGAGAGGGGAGGTCTGGATGTGTATTTTCGCGGGATGAGCGCTTACGTGGTTGATTTTAGCCTCGCCAGTCCTCATAGGACTGGCATTGTTCCGTTTTTTGGTGTTTTGTTCTTAACTTGGGTGGGGGCTGTAGCAGTGGTGGCTTCTTTACTTGATGTATCTAACTCACTGGTCAGCGCCTGTGTGACGACCACTGACTCCAGAGGTCTTGGTGGTTGCCGTCTCTCCTCTTGCCTTGTGGGTCTAGGCTTACTTTCACATATACGTATTGAGCCACCCATGCGATCTTTCGCATTATACCATGCGTGCAGAACGTCTGTGAGGGAGGCATATGAGTCGAACTGGACGGCAAGTAGTCTGGGATTGGGTATGGTCTTCAGGTGCGCTGGCCTTGGCAGTCTACTGACGCTGTTGGCCGGTATACTGTTGAGACCAACTTTGGTTGAGAGCCATTGCCATTGTTGGACGTCGTGAAAGTACCGATCTTTGACCGAGCTGTCACTTGGCAATTCTGGAATCCCATGTACAACTATAGTGTTGTTTCTGTTGGGATTTCCAACCGCTGACTTTCTCTCCTCCTCTCTTATTGACCATGGCTTGTCAGGCCTGGCCCGAATTTTACAGGCATTAACAACGTCCGGTTGTCGCGAGAGAAGGAGTGTGTCTTCAGCCTCTTTGGCGGTATTTAGGGACACACGTAAAGGGGGTGGCTTATCTCGGGGTGCATGGCTTCCTCGAGAAAGGCGACATAAAGTTGCAGGGAGGGGAGGGAGTCCCAGCATCTGACAGTAGTCGGTCCACATTCGGCTGTCAAATTGTTCCCTCTCGACCAACAATGAGTCTGTCGATACATCGACGTTGAACAAAATGATCGAGTTGGTCCTCCTGTGACCTGGGTTCGTTGTGGGTGGCACGCCCGACTTCCCAATGGGTTTGAGTAATTCCACTGGTTGTTTCTCAGTCACGGTGTGTGGGGTGTTCGGAATGGGTTTCGTAGAGGCTTCGGCGGTCGATGTCTTTGGCCATGCGCTTGACGTCCCCTGGGGCCGGGTAGGGGGTATGGAGACTTGACCTAATATGGTCCCCACGCGAGGTGGCGTGCCCACAGCTGGAGCTCTAGGTCTGTTTCCAGGTCTCTCTGTGTTATCCTTTGGTGTTAACCCTACTTATTCGAGGATGCTGGTAGCTTTTGCGTGGCGGAGAGCATCTCCTTCAGGCTTTCTGTGCGGAGTGCGGGCATTTTCCTGCACTCTGGACAGATGTACCAGAACCACTTGCATGGTTGTCTCTTCATCAGCTTATAGTATTGTCGGGGGACTTTGGTATCGCAGTGGCAATGCGCCCATCGTTGACATAGGTTGCATGCAAATGCCTCATCGACTACCGAAACAACTTTGGTGCAAACACTGCAGCCATCGGGTGTCGTAATACAGCCTTCCTTCCATGAATAAGGTGCTACGGATTGTGGCGAACTGCTTGTGGCTGCCTTGTTCTGAAGCCTTTTACGTCGTCTTTTATTTCCAGGCATGGTATGATCCTTGCTCAAGATAGGACTAGTTTGTGACGGGCTAGTGCTACTCTGTGTCACCTGTCTGATGGCGACTGGAATTCTAGAAACATGGGTTGGCCACTTCTTTAGAAGTTCAGTGTTCTGCCCTACCTCTGTTTGTCTTCTAGTACAGACTAGTGTGTTGTTTAGGGTGTTACTGGCCGTTTTTGTGCACGACCGCGTTATCCGTGTCAAAGCTGCAGACCTAGCGTTTTGGGCAGACATGTCGCTATGATACAAAATTCTTGGGAAAACACCACACTGGACAAAGAAGTGAAGAAGAGTGAGCACAAAGACAAAAGACACTTCTACGACACGTTGGCAAGCGAAGCAGAACAGGCTGCTGGTGGGAGAGACCTGACAACATTATATCAAATGGCCAGGTTACTATCCAGGAAGAGACCAACGCAGACGAAACCAATGAAATATAGTTACGAAAGAGGACCACTTCAAAAAATCTTGAATTGAACATCACCACCACCTACAACTCGTCCGGAAATACCACCAGCAACGGCAGAACTCCCAGTGAACGGAGGTCCTCCGACAAAAGCAGAAGTCCTAAATGGCATAAAACTGCTGAAATCCGGGAAAGCAGATACAATACCACTAGAAGCACTGAAACCACGCAGAGACAACAGCGAACATGCTCACACCACTATTGCGGAAGGTTTGGGAGGGAAGGTACCTGTCGATTGGAAGACAGGCCACCTTATCAAAATCCAAAAGAAGGGAGACCTGATTCTTTGCAAGAACTGGCGCGGAATCATGCTGCTGTCTACACCAAGCAAAATATTATGCCGCATCATCCTGGAGAGAATAAAGATGCGCTGGATTCAAAATTACGACCTGAACAGGCTGGCTGGCTTCAGGAAGAAGAAATCCTGTGCTGATCAAATTGCAGCACTATGCTACGCATCATCATAGAACGGAGTATAAAATGGCAGTCAAATCTCTACCTCAATTTCATCGACCTTGAAAAGGCCTTCAACAGCGTCGACCGAGAAGTAATCTGGCAGTTGCTTCAACACTACGGTTTCAGTGCCAGAAACCTTTATCAACCTCATTCAACAGCAGCTATATGACGACGCCACATGCCAAGTGATTCACAATGGAAAGCTCAGTGACGCCTTTGAAGTGAAGACAGGAGTAAAGCAAGGTTGCCTACTATCACCCGTGACCTTCCTGACTGTGATCAACTGGACGGGATTAGGCAGCAAACCGTGAAGAGTGAGATGGGTATACGCTGGCTGGACCGATGAAAAGAGTCTAGAAGATTTGGATTTCACCGATGGTTTAGGTTTAATGTTGCACCAACTCGAAGATCTACAAGCGAAAACTGACAAGTTGACAGAAGAGGCAGCGAAAACAGGGCTTCAAATGAATGTAAAGAAGACGGAGGTGATGAATATACCCAATCAACGACAGCACCAACAACAAGCACCAATCACCATCAACGGGTGAAACCTAAAGGAAGTATTCTTTTCCACCTACCTAGGCAGCATTGTTTCAACTACAGGTGGCGCAGATGAGGACATCAAAGCTAGGATCGGATAGACAGCAAGGTGGGCCTTCATTATTCTGAAACCAGTGTGGAGATCAACTGCGCTCAGCATAAAGAACAAGATCCGGATTTCAACACTAATTCAGTCAAGTCAGTGCTGCTGTATGATTCAGAAACTTGGTGCGTTATGAAGAGCATTTCCAACAAACTACAGACATTCATTAACAGCTGCCTACGCTCGATACTGAAGGTCAGATGGATGGCCAAAAAGAATGAGCGACAAGGAACTCTGGCTGACAATGAACCAAGAACCTATCGCCTAACAAATATGCAGGAGAGAGTGGAGATGGGTTGGGCATACACTGAGAAGGCCGACTAGGGACATCACGCGCCAGGCCCTCGAGTGGAATCCAAACGGGAAACGACGAGTTGGGC